AACACCCGATGATTTAGATGTGTCAATTGAGTTAAAAGATTGGTTATTCGCTCTAGAAGGTGCACAAGAGTCAGCTGAGAGGTGGTGGTTCCAGAATCATGAAGACTCTTCTAGAGAAGAGAGGTGCTGGCATGCTTCTTTTCACAGCATCGGTGTTAAAGCAAAAGGCTGCCCTAAGCAAAAGGGAATGGGAAATGCTAGGCTTCGTGGAAAACTAAGACATCCAGTGGAGTTAGTTACAGTGAGATTTTTCCTTTTCCTTTTCTTCATATATATTAAGATCATTCGGGAGCCCCGCTTTGAATAATTAAAGAGAGAATGATGAGTTAATAAGACCTTGGGTTGAACAAGTTTTTTCTTTCAATGGGTTGAAGTAGTTAACAGATTGGATTCAATCTTTTATTGGGTTCACTCAAGTGCCTTATGGCCCAATTGAGTGACATAACAACTATGAGTTCTCTTATGGTATCAGAGTAGGTTTTGGCCCACTTTATTTGTCTATTTCGTTCATCCCCAATGGCCCTTGAGCCTTTAGCCTGGTTGTACATCTCAGAGTCTAGCCGCAGTAGCCAGTTGTTCTTGGGTTGAACTTAGCTAACAAAGTGGATACAATCTTTTGAACTTAGCACTCTATGGCCCAGCAGAATCCCAACTCGATCCTAAATTATATCAAAGATATACTTGACTTCTCATAAATTATTAATGCATGTTGTTTACTTTATCTGTGATCATTAGAATGTATAGAATTAACCAAGGGCTGGGGGGGACTTACATAGACATATCTATACAGGTTGGTGTGGAAGACTTGCAGATCTCAAAGCCACAAACTCAAAAGGTTACTAAACAAAGTGGTCTTCTGGATAGAGTGCCCAAAGAAACTTCTGAGACCTATGCCGGTATAAACCTTGAAGTTGACCTAGTTAGCTCAGAAGAGAAGATTGATGATGGAATGGCAAAGTGGGTGGTGGAGAATGTGAAATTCTCAGTCAAACAACCGGTGAATATGTTTGCCTTTGTTTGATAGAAATTAGTTCTCAGAGTACTTATTAGAGTGAGTATAAATAAACATGGTATTGATGCTGTTTATGTTAACTTTGCAGATTGAGGCAATTGTAAGAAAGGATGAGCTGCAATACCTCACTTTCTTGTGCCAGTCCGAAATTGATTCTATGGGCCGGATAACTGCTGGAATCCTACGGGTTCTTAAATTAGAAGGTTCAGTTGGCCAAGCAGCAATTAGTCAACTAAGCAATTTAGGTACTCATGCAATTAACTTTTTAATTTGCAATAACTTTAGTTACTCTTAGTGCTGTTAGGTTTTTAACATGATAAATTGCTCATGGGATTCTGCAAGGAATAGTGGAATCATAAAAAGCGCTTTCTTTGAATGAACTGTACCTTCTTGCCAACACTAAGTAATGTTATTTGAGCTGTATAGTGGCTCAAATCAATCTGGGCTCTAGCAGTCCCCGTATTGAGCCCTTATCCAAGCCTGCTTAGGTGTCGTTTACTGCTTTTTGGAACAACATACCTGTTCAATAATAAACTACTCCGATTACTTTTATTCATATAACTTTGAACTTGCAACTTCATAATTTCTAGAGGTTATTACAATGTTTATACATCCTCCATCATTTGCAATGGAGCTAAAGATTCATTATTTTTTGGCTTGAGATTATGATGGAATAAAGCAAAATGGCTCACTAAACTGTCTGCGCTTTCTTTGTTATGAAGCAGCAGTTAGTCCATGCAATTTTGGACGCGATTTTCACTACGGGTCATCCGAAAACAGTCTCTTTGTGCTGTAGTACAGGGGTAAGACTGCGTACATAGACCCCCCCTTACCCCACCGTAGGTGGGAGGGAGCCTTTGCGGCACTGGGGTAAATGAAAATGATGATTACAATGTTTATACAGAAAAGTAGTGGAATTAAAGCTGGTAGGAATTAGAAACCATGAGCAACACATTAATACTGCTGAAACTATGATAACTATATCCCCCCCTTCTGAGCAACACATGTTCAAAAGTTGTTATATAAACTCTAAACTTCTAAAGAAACTTGCACTTCGCTTGATCTTTCAACTGTGAAACTTAGGAAATCGAAACATGAACACTTCAACGAAACTCCACTTCACTGCTTCCGCTCTGACTCTTCTTTTCTTGAGCTGAACTGATGCCCATTTAAGCATCCGAACTTGAACTTTGTAACTGAACCGTGCCCACTTGAGCATCACAACATTTAACTTGAAGTTTTGAGTGCTATGTCATGGATCTTATGAATTGCAGGAAGTGAAGGTTTTGAAAGAATATTCACCCCGTGCTCCAATACTGTTGGGCTTAGCCCACCCTCAAGTGGGACCTGTGGGATCAGAAATTGTCATTTGGATGCTACTGTAGCTTCTCTAGAAGAGTTGCTACTGGAAACACAGGCTAGCTGTGAAGCCCTTGGGGTCGAGCTACATAGTTCAGAATCTTCCAGTGAGCAGCTTGAAAATTTTAAACAAATGTCTAAGAAACTGGAAAGTATGCAGAAACTATTGCTGCAATTGAGGACTCAAATTTAATTTTTTTTTGTTTTGTTAAATATTGTCTGCAATTTTGTCCAGATCACATCATCTTATGCTGGGAGTCATCACGGCAACAGCCTCTTCACTCCTAGGGGTAGAATTGAGGTCTGTGTACATGATACATCTTGCCCTCTTCCGCCCCATTTATGTGTGTGTGTGTGTATTCAATACTAGATGTATAGATGAATTAATGTCGGGGTGGACATTGTCGTGTTCTGTCCTGGTTTCAATCCCCCAGTTTGGTTGAATAGATTTTATTATAGTTTGGTTTTTCATCTTTGGATATGATTCATATGAACTTTGATGTTTAGTTGTGTTGAAATATAAACTAGAATAATATTGAAGAATGGAGGAAAGATTTCCTGTGTATTTCATTAGAGGGTTAAGGCTCTATATGTATTGATGGATGGAGTACCGGGGGGGGGGGGGGGGGGGGTAGCTTATCCGGGGGTTACTGCGGGGAGTAACGTAGAGAGAAGTTAGAGCAAATAAGTAAGAGAGATAAAGAGTTCAAGTGTGTATTCAAATTGTATCGAGCGTGGTTTACAAATGGGGAAGGGGTGCTATTTATAGCAGCAATAAATGCTAGATAAGGATACGTGTCAAAAATCTGGTGGTTGAGGGGTCACCTCAACTGGGATGGCATTGGCATTCGCATGCGGTCGCATGAAATGCGGTGGTTGGATGCGACGTTTGTACTTGGTAAGTTGATCTATCGCATGTGGATGGGAGATCCTGTCGAGGAGGATGCCTTCGAGGAGGATGCCTTCGGCTGTAGATGATAGTCCGAAGGCTCTGCGTACCGGGGGTCTCATGGTGCCGAGGGCTCCCATTGCCGGAGGCGTGGTTTTCCAGACCTGTTCTCCTGTGATGTTTCTGAGCCTAATTTCGTCACTGGTAGCCTTCGGCCATGGGGCCGAAGGCACCCCTTCATGTATCGTGGGTCGCCTAGAACTCCCTCCTGCTAGGTTTGGCCCGCTTGGGCCTGTTGGGCCTGATTGTGATAGTGGAAGTATGTGGGCTGTTGGGCCTCCTGCTCCATTAGTGAGTTCTTGCTTGTAGGACTTAGGTTTTTTAGAAAACTCTTCTCCCTCAAACCTTTCGGTCATAGTAAAAAATGTCTTCGCTAAGTGATTCGCAAAATATCTCGGGGGAGCCTTATGTTGCGGAAGAGAGCATCGCGGTTAAGGAGTCTATTAGCGAGCAACCCTCGGTGAGTGGTGATTCCTCCATTGCAATGGAGGTGCAGAAGGACTTGGTGGCCGAGGCCGAAGTCAAAGATTTTGAACAAGTCAACGATGATGAGGAGTTGGCCCTCACTCTCCAAAGTCCAAACGGTGGAAGAAGAGGAAGAGAAAGAGAGGCAAAAAGTTACCATCGCCACCCTCCCTTCTCGGCTCAACGATGAAGCCGGAAGCTCCCGTCCCCTCGACTCGACGCCTATAAGCGTGGCCCTTGGAAAGAAGAAAAAGGCGAAGGCTGCCACGAAGAAAAAATAAGCTGCCGCCGACGCTGGGCAGCCAATAGGGATTCCCGAAGGCTATTCCTACCTGAACACTGCAGCCTTAGATGTGAAGACCAGAGCCACACAGGGGGAGTATATGGCGACAGAGCTCTTGGTCGGGCCCTCGGCACAGGTGGTGGAGCCGGGGCCAGATCACGTTCTATTACATGCCCTCGCCGGCTGTTTTGTCGTACATATACTCTCGGTGGAGTTGGGCCTCCGATTCCCCCTCCACCCCTTCGTGATCGAGTACCTTCGGTTCATCAAACTCGCCCCCTGCCAGCTGACCCCAAACATCCATTCCTACTTGGCTGGTTTCCTTTCCCTTTGCCGGAGCAGTGATGTGGAGCCCACTCTAGATCAATTCTTCCTCTCCTTCAACCTCTCCCTGGGAGGTCACTCAAATGCTGGAGGCTTCGCCAACCTGCAGCAGCTCCCCGAGTTCAGGCTCTCGACGATGTCCCTTCGTCTCACAAGGGGTGGAAAGACAAGTTTTGCTATGTCCGCATGGCAGAGAATCCCTTCCCGGCCCCACTCCGTGATAGCTTCCGGAGGCACTTAAAGGCAAGTAGTGCCGCCTTGGAGAAGAAGGGGAGGAAACTTTCCAAGAAGCCAGAGGGATCCGAGAAGCACGTATTGATCAAGGTCGCCACCCTCCCGGATGAGCTTTACGACTTGGGCTTCCGTCGGTACCGGCTGATGGGGGAAAAAGATGAGAGATATCCTCCTATCGATAGGGTCTACCAAAGCGCCGGAGGTTGTCGCCTTACCGAGGGCTGCCATTTCATACTTAGAAAAATTTTCCGCGTCTTGATGTAGCAATATTCTAACCCTTCTGTATTCCTTTGCTTTTCAAGACCAGACATGGATTCTAAGAACCTCGCCAGGTTGAAGAGACAACTTGCCAAAGAGGATAAGTAGAAGAAGGCCTCGGCGCAGCAGAGGGCGGTGGATGACATATTCCCGAAGGCCGCAGTCGGGAATGATGGCGGGCCTGTGGTGAAGGTTGCCATCGGTGATGAAATCGACTCTACAGCCGAGGGCTCCCCCGTTGCTGAGCTAAAGAGGAAGCGGGCCGGGAAGGCTGTGGTGCCCTCGGAGGGGAAGAAGCAGAAGAAGGGGGCCCTCGGGAAGAAAGAGGCCCCCGTTGTCATTGTCGAGGAGCATTCCTCATCCGAGCCCCCGGTTTAAGTTGTCAGAGTGACGTGGCCCCAGGAGAGCGTGCAGTTCTCCATCACCAAGGGGTCTGCCATCATGCATGGCACCCTCAGCCCGAGGGAGTTCTTGAGGGGTGCCACCCCTCCGACAGACAAGTCAGTGATGTCCCGGCAGGCTGACGACGCCCTCTGCTCCAAGGTCCTGCATGCTTCGATCACCGTAAGACTTCTCCTCCCTTCTTTCCTTTAGTTAAGCGTATCTTGCATATTGTGTGTAGTAACTTAACTCTTAGTGTTTCCTGGTCTTTTGTAGGCAAGTATTGGCCTAGGTGAGCTGATCCGGAGGATGGAGGAATCTACCCTTCAGAAGCAGAAGGCTGACGAATCTCTGGTCCTTGCCCGGAAGCAGCTCCAAGATGCGCAGGAGGCCTTTCGCCTGGAGAGGGAGGCTTTCGACAAAATCTTTGAAAACAGCAAGGTCGTGGCTAGAGCTGAGGCTGAGAAGGTTGCAGCTGAGGCCGCCGGGGCAGCTGGTGAAAGGGCCGAGGAAGCCAAGAAGAAGGCGGTCACCCAAGCTGAGAAGGTCGTTGTAGCTGCTTTTGTGACCGAGGGCTGGAAGACCGAGGAGCATCAGCAGTGGGTGGCCTCGATGGTGGAGGCCTCGTGGATAACTGGGTGAAGGGCCCCGGGGCCATGTGGCTAGCCCATAAGGGCAAAGAGTATTATGATGGGGGCGAGTACTTCACTCAGGCCCTCATCTACCGAAGGCTAGCCCGACACATGGGGGTGGACCCAAAGGCCTTTGACCCGGTGGCTCACGGTCTTACTCCCCTCCAGCCTGATCCCAGAACTCCCCTCCCCGAGGGCGCTTCGAGGCCTGATCTATAAGATATTGTGCTGATGCAGGAGGCCAGTGACGAAGAAGAAGGAGCCGAAGGGGACGCCATGTCGAAGCCTGCCGAGGGGGGTGCTGCTGCAGCTATGATAACCCTGCCCTTGTATAAATTTTGAACAATTTTGTAATGAAGATATACAATCCTTCGGCTTCGGCCTTTATGTATAACAATTTGCTTTTCCATTACGTTAATGAATGCCTTCTTGTCCTTGTCTGTTTTTGAATGAATGCCTTTTACGTTATTCCCTGCCTTCTTCCCTTTCGTGCATGAATGTATGTTTGGCCAAACGTTTGGCCGAGGGCCCATTATTTAGGACTTAGAAAAATCTTCCAAGTGTTTGTTCAGCACTTGGCCTTTTGTTGCATGTTGAGTTGACCGAGGGCCAATCGTTTTAGGACTTAAAAAATTCTCCAGGATGGTTTTGCCACTGAGCCTTCGTTTGTACGTCGAGTTGACCGGGGGCCAATCATTTCAGGACTTTGAAAATTTATCTAAGTGTTGCTTACAACTTGGCCCTCTGTTGACATCCTCTTTTGTATGTCTTCTATTGTGTGAGTTGTAAGCCCTCATTCGTTGGTGGCAGGGGGGCAATAGTTCAGGACTTAGAAAATTTCCTAAGTAATGTCCATTGCTAAGCCCTTTGCTGATGTCTCCATTTTGATCTTTTGTAACTTGTTCTGGGTTGACCGGGGGGCAAAAATCTAGGACTTAGAATATTTTCTAAGTGTTGTTTTATCTCTTGGCCTTCGGTTAATCGACCCCTCTGGCTGTCCTGGATTGACTGAGGGCCAAAAATTCAGGACTTAGAAAAATTTTCTAAGTGGTTGGTCTGTAGGTCTTCGACCGATGCTTCCTTCTGAACTTGTGTAGCTGCCATTAGTTGACCGAGGGCTCACATTTTAGGACTTAGAATTTTTTTTGAAGTGTTGCTTGTCACTTGGCCTTCGGTTATTGGACCCCATGGATTACATGATAATTTGACAGAGGGTCAAGCATTTAGGACTCAGAATTTTTTTTCTAAGTGTTCTTGTTACTTGGGCTTCGGTAAAAGAGACCTTCTAGATTGTAGCATTTGTAGGTAAGATCTACCCTCGGCAAAGGATGGTGATCCCGGGGGTACCCAGTTTGTGGGCTTAGCCACATTTTGGTAACATTTGTTGAATAGTAGCTCTCGGATACCGGTGGTGTCCCCATGGGAGCCTTCGGTATGATCTTTTTTTAAAGGAGGGAATATAGTCTCTTTTTTTTAATAAATAAACAGTACAGAGAAAGAAATCACAATGAAGGAAAAAAAAGGAAAATACAAGAAAGAAAATAAAACAATACAGAGTCCTTGTTGGCTGCCGAAAGGTGCACATTTTTTGGAGCTTGTACTCGTTGATTGCTCTTTGAGTCTACTCCCCTTCACCCGTTTTTTTTTTGTGTCGGGGGAGATGGTGAAGAGAAGGCTTCAAGAAACTTGGTTTCTTGGTAAGGCTTGGCCTATTGGGAGGCAACAGTATACACCATTGGCTCCCCCCTTGGGGTTAACCTTCCGGGTTCCGAGGGGATCGAGGGTCGTTTCCTCGGCACGAGACATAGTTCGTTGCCTGCCTCCCATTGGGGATAGCACGGAAAGCGCCTCAGTTTTGAAAGTCGTCCCCTCAGCACGAGACATAGTCCGTTGCCTGCCATTCCTTTGGGGTAATGGCGCGGGGAGCGTTTCATTTTTGAAAGTCGAATCCTGAGGCATATTAGTTGTCTGCCATTCCCTTGGGGTAATGGTGCGGAAAGCGTTTCAGAAAGGGTTTATTTGCATATTAGTTGCAAAAAGGCCGGGGTACTTGGTACCTCCGACGCTGATAGGTGGGGCCTTCGGCATAAATGCGTCCTCGAGGGGTACGGCTTCAAAAATAACACTTGGTGTTTTATTTTTGCACACAGTACCCCCGACACTTGGTACCGAGGGGTCTTCCTTAAAAACACTTGGTGTTTTCTTTTTTTTGTTATTGTTGTTGTTGGAGATGGTGTGAGGGTCCGCCCTCGGCACTTGGTGCCGGGGGGTCTTGTGATAAGGCCTTGGGCCAGGAGCTTGCATGAGGGCTTGGCCGCTCATGTGTTCTGTTCTTTGTGCTTGGTGTCTTCAACATGTCTTCATTCTTCAAAAATTGGAGGCCTTGGGGCATAGGATAATACATTCAATAGTTATGAGTGCTTGGCCGCTCCAACATTACTGATAAAATTTAACTAGATGGTGTACATTCCAATGTCGGGGGACCTCGGTCCCGTTGGGGCGCTTGAGCTTGTAAGTTCCTGGTTTGATGACGGTTGCGATGATATATGGACCCTCAAATTTGGGTGCCATTTTACCGCCCTCGGTTGGTTGGCTAGCTTCCCTTTTTCGGAGAACGTAGTCCCCCACCTGAAATTCTCGGGAGCGAACCTTGGCATCGATGTAGCCTTTGACCTGCCTTCGGTAGTTTTCCGCCTTTAGGAAGGCCTGCTCTGAGATGAGGTGAAGGTTGAGGGCCATGTTGGCGTCGTTGATCTCGAGATCTTATTGATCTACCCTTCGGGTAGGTAGAGTTACCTCTGTATGGGCCTTCGCCTCAAATCCGTAACAGAGGGAGAAGGGTGTTTCGCCTGTTGCCCGCCTAGGGGTAGTTTGGTAGGCCTAGAGAATGTTGTAGAGTTCTTCTACCCAGCCTCCCCCTTCGACTTCAAGCTTCTTTTTTAGGCCTTCAAGCAAAGTTCGGTTGGCATTCTCCACCCGTCCGTTGCCTTGAGGGTAGGCAACCGAAGAGAATGTGTGTTTGATGCCCCATGCCTCTAGGAGGGCACAAAAGGGGGCTGCCTCAAATTGAGTCCCGTTTTAAGAGATGATTTGTTGAGGGACGCCAAACCTTGTGAGAATGTTCTTGAGGACAAAGTGGCGGCATCTAGCTTTGGTGATGCTGGCGAGGGGCTCAGCCTCCACCCACTTGGTGAAGTAGTCTATGGCAATGATGATGTACCTGTTGTTGGAGGTACCCCTCGGCAGAGGGCCCGCAAGGTCTATGCCCCACCTAGAGAAGGGTATGGATGTGCTGATGGGGGCATAGTTGACCGCTGGCCTGCCGGGGGCCTTCTGAAAGTGCTGACAAGCGGTGCACCTTCGGGCAAGATTTGCGCAATCACGGGCCATGGTGGGCTAGAAGTAACCTTGGACTATGAGCCTTCGGGACATAGAGAAGGGTCCCTGATGAGCTGAGCAAATGCCACTGTGCACTTCCTCAATTGCAACCTCGGCTTCGTCCTAATGAAGGCACCGAAGGAGGGTACCGTTGTAAGATCTTTTGTAAAGCCTTCCATTCTCGAGGGTGTAGCTGGGAGCCCTCAGTTTTGCTAGTTTGGCGCAGGCTTCGTCCTCGGGAAGATGCCCTGTGGTGTTGAAGGTGGTGATGTCGGAGATCCAGTCCTCCGACGTGAGATGTATATCCATGATGGGGCTCGCATGTATGGTCGAGAGGTTGAGCGCCTCGACTCTTACAATCTTGGAGAGGTGTTCCGGGGACTCGTCCGAAAGCTTTGATAAAATATCGGTCTCAGAGTTTTGAGCCCTCGATATTTTGGTGAGAGAGTGTGCCTCAAATACCTTGAGCATCTCCTTGGCCGCTTCCTTGTATTGCTTCATTCTTCCTTCCTTGGCCTCATACTCCCTTGAAATTTGGCCCACGACAAGCTTGGAGTCACACTTGACGTGGATCATTCTGGCCTTCATATTTGATGCTAGCCGAAGGCCACAGAGGAGGGCCTCATATTCGGCTTCGTTGTTGGACACTTTGAAGGAGAAGCGGATGGCATAATAGGCGCGGAAGCCTTCGGGAGTAATGAGAACTACCCCTCCCCCGCATGCTTTGGTGGCTGAGGAGCCATCGGTATAGAGGGTCCACCATTCATCCGAGGGTGCCGAGGGCTCCTCCCCCGCTGTTGATCTTGCCGTGCATTCCGTCACGAAGTCTGCCAGGGTTTGGCCCTTTATGGCGGGCCTCAGACGGATGTCAATGTTGTACTGGCTGAGGAAGATATCCCATTTTACCATTCTGGAGGAGCTGATGGGGCTCCTCATGAGGGCGTTGAGGGGTTGATGTGTGAGCACTTGGACCGGATGAGCTTGAAAGTAGTGGCCAAGCTTCTTGAGGGTCCAAACAATGGCTAGGGCCGTTTTTTACACGGGGGAGTACCTGAGTTCTGCCTCCCTGAGAGTCTTGCTAACATAGAAGATGGCATGTTGGACGTCATCTTCCTTCCGGATGAGTACCGAGCTGATGGCAGTGGGGCTAATGCCAAGGTATAGATATAAGGTCTCTCCTACTTTGGGCTTGGAGAGCACATGACGAGAAGAGAGGTACTTTTTGAGCTCGTCGAAGGCTCCTTGATACTCAGTTGTCCATTGGAAGTTTGTTGTCTTCCTCATGATTTGGAAGAAGGGGGGCCTTTTCTGCTGATTTGGAGAGAAAACGGTTGAGGGCTGCTAGGCGACCTGTCAATCTCTGAACCTCCTTCACGTTGCGTGGAGCCTCCATGTTGATGATGGCTTGAATTTTTTCAGGGTTGGCCTCAATACCCCTTCGGCTCACCATGTAGCCAAGAAACTTCCCTCCTTGCACGCCGAAGGTACACTTCTTTGGATTCAACCGAAGGTTGAATTTCTACATGATGGCGAATATCTCCCGGAGATCCTCAGCGTGGGTGTTTGATTTCTTGCTCTTGACGATCATATCGTCAACATAGGCCTCCATGGTGCGTCCCAAGACGGCTTGAAAGACTCTGGCCAGTTCCTGAGGTTTTTGAAGCGCCTTTCCTTCGAGGCGGTCTTGGACCCCTCGGCAGTCTTGCACCCCTCCGAGCCTCTCGAGGGCGGAGGTTCGAGGCCCCTCCTTGTTCGCACCGCGTTGATCCCAAGATTGGACCTCGTGGGACGCGGTATCTTGGGCCATGACCCCCTCGTTGTTCTCTAGCCGAAGGATGGGGTTCACGAAGCTGGGCGGAGGAGGGGGAGGAACGGCGTTCTCCCCGACCTGCGGCTGAAGGGGTACCAGAGTGCCGAAGGCACCCGGGTTTTGGGTGAGTGTTTGGATGAAGGCGGAGAATGCCGAATGTACGTCAATAGTGAGAACCGGAGGGCTCACTTGATTTTCGCTTCGGTCTCTCCTCCGGGTTTCGATTTCAAGACGGGCATCGGGGGCATTCTACTGAAGCTGAAGGCGCAGGTCAACAGTAGCCTGTTCCAACTCAGTGATGACCCTGCCCTCGGGAGCCTTGTTAGAGGCTCCGGGGGCGTTGACTTCACCGAGGGCCAGGTTGTTGTCCTCAAGGTTCTTGGACTGAGCACGGGTGGTTCTTCCCATTTTGGTAGGTGTTTTGAGCTGAAGGGGAGGGTTTCTTACTTGATCGTTCGACCTCTCAATGAGAGCACCAAATGATGGATGGAGTACCCGGAGGGTAGCTTATCCGGGGGGTTACTGCGGGGAGTAACTTAGAGAGAAGTCAGAGCAAATAAGTAAGAGAGATAAAGAGTTCAAGTGTGTGTTCGAATTGTATTGAGCGTGGTTTACAAATGGGGAAAAGGGTGCTATTTATAGCAGCAATAAATGCTAGATAGGGACACGTGTCAACAATTTGATGGTCGAGGGGTCACCTCAACTGGGATGGCATTGGCATTCACATGTGGCCGCATTAAATGTGGTGGTTGGATGCGACGTTTGTACTTGGTACGTTGATCCAGCGCATGTGGATGGGAGATCCTGTCGAGGACGATGCCTTCGGCTGTAGATGACAGTCCGAAGGCTCTGCGTACCGGGGGGCCTCATGATGCCGAGGGCTCCCATTGCCGAAGGCCTGGTTTTCCAGACATGTTCTCCTGTGATGTTTCTGAGCCCAATTTCGTCACTGGTAGGCTTAGAACTCCATCCTGCTGGGCTTGGCCCGCTTGGGTCTGTTGGGCGTGATTGTGATAGTGGAAGTATGTGGGCCGGGGGACCCTGGGCCATATACTCCATCATATATATATTATAAAGATGGAATATTCCTATGTAAGATGTTGTACAATAATAATGTCTAGAGTATATTCCTAAAGCATATTCTAGAGCATATTCTTAAAGCATATTCTTAGAAACAATAATACTTTCACAAAGTTGCATTCGGCTTGGGCATCTCGTACATTCCAATGGAGAGTGGGTTTGACTAACATAGTAACACCCAATGGAACAGGCTTGCTATTTATGTAATGGAAAAAAATTATGTATTGCTAATAAAAGCTTATAAACGTTGGAACTCCAATGCATCCACTAGGATAAAGTTTATCGGACATATAGCCACCCCATCTACCCACACTATAGTTGGGTGAAATGCTGACCACAAATGTATAGTTGGATCTAAAATTCTCCTTCAATCTTAAAGCCCTCCTACTTATTAAATCGAACCACAAATAACTGTAAAATACTTCCTCAACTCCTTGTCTCCTTATATTATACTTCGTATTCAAAAGTTCAATGAATCCTCCTACTCAATATTCTACCAATTACATCCATAAGCTTAATTGAACACTCAAAAGTTCAAATAGTATTTTATTTTTAGCTAGTATATAATCGCTTTGCTTGCAAAACGCCTACTACTTTATGTGGCTTTCGTCGTCTATTTTGACCAAGCTTCAGTTTTGATATTTCATGACTTTAGTTTTGAGTTTCTTGTAATACTATGGTGACAACTTTGGAGCCCAAGCTCCTTCAGAATAAGGTAATCGATTCAACTCTTTAAGCCAAAAGTGACAAACTTTCAGGTTGGATTGTAAGGGTGTAATTTTACACTTTCAATTGGTCACTTATTTTAGATTATGAAGTTCTAAAACAATTAAACAAGAGCTTGGTAACATAGGCCTCCTTTAAATTCTACTGCGATTGAATTTATTAGGAAGGTTGTCTACCATTAATGGCGATCAAAGCTTGATTGAGTACAACCTTGGCTTTGTTTGAGAGTGAATTCATGGTTCTTAGACTTTTCCATCTATATTTTAGTTACATGACAGATTGCAAATCGTTTGGCTCTCAAATGAGATTCTGGATTTCTAACGAAAGAGTTGAAGAATCAAACAAATTTCACGGGTGCACAGAAGAGCCATTGCCGTAGATTCTCTCTTATGCAGCAGCAACTTTCTTTATTGCTTTAATTTTCATTGAATCCCACTTAGGGGTGGACCCAACCGGTTCGGCCCGGCCCGGAACTGGCCCGGCTCGCCACTGTGCGGGCCTGGACTGGCCCGGTTGGTGCTAACCGGGCCCGGGCTTTTACCCGGTTGGGGAGGGTTGGGCGGACCGGGCTCGGGCACTATATTTGTTGAACCAGCTCGGGCGGTTCGGGCCGGACCCGAGCTTTTTTTATTTTTTATTTTTTTTTTGTTTTTTCAATTTTTTTTTGTTTTTCTTGGTTAGGGCTGCGTGTTTTGGGGGGTGAGGGGGGTCAGGGGTTAATTAGAAAGTAAAAAAAATTACCTTGACCCGGGCCCGGTTAGGCCCGGACCCGGTATCAACCCAGGCCGGTTCCGGGCCCAACAATTTGAAAAAAAAGCCCGCCAGGGCCCGACCCGGAACCGGACCAGCCCGGGTCCATCCCTAATCCCACTTAGGGGTGGACCGGTTCCGGTTCGGGCCCGATTCAGGCCTCGGTTCATGAAAGGGGAGGCCCGGAACTGGCCCGGGTAACCCCCGGGTCCGGGCCGGGCCTCGGTTCATGTAATTTTTTTTTTTTGGCCTTTTCTAATTAACCCTCAACCCTCCCCCCTCACCCCCAAACCACCTCAAATGGCCCATCATACTCAGCCCAACCCAAAAACTTAAAAAAAAATTCAAAAAAAAAAAAAATAAATAAATAAATTGGCCCAAACCGGGCCCAAACCGGCCGGGCCTGTTCACTATTTAGCAGGCCCGGGCCCGAACCGCCTACCTCACCGGGCCAGGTGGTCCAAACCGGGCACCAATCGGTTCACCGGGCCAGTCCGGGCCCGCACATTAGTGGGCCGGTCCGGTTCCAAGCCGGTTGGCCCAGCCTGAGTCCACTCCTAATCCCACTCAATAAAAGTTGTGTGAAGAGGGCGTGATCATTCTTACTTTCTTAGCCAACTAGATTAGTGTTCTAGCCACACAAGCAATTTACTTGCAATTTGCAAACTTGTTATGACCAGCTAAAAAGAATCTATGCAATTTTTGAATATGTTTGTGGGTTTTATTGAATGATTACTAAGTGAGGGTTTAATTGACATTTTGGATCTGATACAAGAGTTTATTTGAAAATTTTCCCAAATAAACATGATAACTCATAAAACGAACCTTCACTATAAAGATTTTAGAGAAAAACACTAAACTTAATAGTGTTCATAATACGGATTACGGAGTACAAATTTTAAGAGGTAAAATTAAGAACAAAATGAAGCCAAGGACAAGTCAAGGATTCAATTGAAGCCGAAGATGAACAAAAATTAGATGCTTAAGTAAAGAATCAGCTGAATGCTTAGAGTTAAGTACCTCAAATGTGAAGTGTTTAAAAGATGCTCAAGTGTTTATTTACAGTGGTCCCTAACAAATACATGTTTTGATACATCCTTAAACAGCCATTCCAGAACATTCATAAATTAATTATACAACTGTAAAGAACATTTGACCGTTGAGTACCCTATCCGAACCCTGGTCTGCAATCTTCCACTTGTCTCCAATAGACTTCGGTCTGTTTGAGATTACATTCATACTATTCCTATCGCTAGATCTATTATAGCACACATGTTGTCGTTATAATAGGCACCAATTACATATTTACATCACAATTCTAAGCACTTCTGTGAAGCCTACTTGACAAAAGTTTCAATGTTTCTGCTTTGAGAAGAATTTCTGTAAACAGTTTGGCATGCGTTGATGACATACCAAACGTGTGGATCTTCATTTGAAATGTTACTTAGTATTTCTGCTGCAGGCTTTAGTAAACCTGAGGCCAAAAGAACTTGGTACATCCTGCAAAGGCATTGGAATATATAAAAAGATGTGTAAAAATAAGAAGAAAACTAGAACATTATCTTCTAATATTCAGCAATCTCTGCAAATTCATTCATTTCACATAGATAATCTGGTTTGGTGGAGCTATGATTTGACTCACACAATACAAGTTACAAAAACTTAAATAATTAATAACAAACTTCATGTTATGTGGCCAGGCACGCAAAAACGGTTTCTTAAGCTATTAATCTCAATAGTATATATGTACAAAATGAAGCAGGTGAAGCTGAGTCAGCTCATAATCAACTTCATGTTATGTAGCCTGGCGCGTAAGAAATTGTTCTTTAATTTATTAATATCGGCAATATATTTGTACCAATCGTAGCAGGTGAAACTGAGTCAGCTCATAGCCTCATACAATTTAGGCCAAATTGATAAGAATAATCCATACTGAGAGTGTTCATAAATTAATCTGAACTAGCAATGGTGTTCACAAGAATAAATTGAGGTTTATTCGCATTAATATTCATTTAATGCTCTCAACCCCTACCCCAATTTATTCACGTGAACAACATTGTTAGTTCGGATTATTTTTATGAACACTCTCAGTAGGGATTATTACTGTAGAATGCCTGAAAGTATGTATTATTCTTATGAATTTCGCCTACAATTTATCGAGTCAACTCAACGAGCTGGATCCAGGAGGAAAGGAATAGTTTTGTCACTGGCTCACTGCCTTGTTGAGTTTCATTCGATTGCACTTCTCTTCATTCTCTTCACACCAAAGCTTTGAACTGTGGCTAGCTTTTTTTCATGGCACCAAGTACCGCCTTCACGTTATTTGTTATAAAAATGAATAGGATGTGATTGACTTTCCTCGGCACAGGAAGCATGATATTGATTATGAAAATTATAATTGGGCTTGGGGGAGATGATAGTGGCTTTCCATACATAGGTCATAGGTTCCTAAATATTCCAAAGTTGAAAATGATTTTGGTTTTATCACAGCATCGCTGTCACTGCCTGGAAAAGCTACCGCGTACCGGCGATATGAACGTTGGACCGAATGATTAATGGCTCATTCGCCCGAATTCACGGTAGATTTTTCGTTGTACTTTCTTTTTAAGTGGTGCATGGCGCCGTTAAGAGGTTGTAGGTCATCATGATACAACAAAAGTAGATGAGGTGTAAAGATAGGATTTTTTAGATTATCTCAAGTGGAAAATTTTTGACAAGAGGTGAAAGGTGGTATGTTTAGAATCAGTTCACTTTTTAAATGGTCATTTTAAAAACAAAGGGCTTCCACCTTATTATCTGCAACCAGACTTAAATGTAGCATGGACATACTAGGTCAAAGCGTCAAGCACTTTCATGTGCTTCACATTTAGACAAAATTTCCTATCAGGTAAGCCACTGAGAAAAATTTAAGCAAAACAATAAGAGTGATTTTAGCAAGAAAGATGCAGGATTTTACCTCAAATAATTTAGTGTGTTGTACGGAAGACCGGCTTTCTGGTACTCTTCCCAAATCTTGAAGCAAATTGGTGACCCATTGGAGCTTATACATGCACTGAGGAGGAAATCGAGGCCCTTGCGGGATGGGAGAACCCCTAACTCATTCTTAACAGCTTGAAGCATATTCCACCCAAACTCCAAGTCTGTTGGCTGTTTTTCCGCAAGAAGGAAAAAAAACTAACCCAAGATGATAATTGTTAAGAATATTAGTTAGTAACTTGGTACTCAATGTCAACTTATCATCTTATATAGTTATATCAGTTAAGAAGCCAATGGGAAATTGAAACCAGCACAAGAGGAAGTCGTAAAGGCATGTTTCATGATGCACACAATGTTTTGGCATTGTGGGAACTTCTTAATGAACTTAAACGCCCTATTCAAATCACTTGCAAATTTTGGGAGCACTAGACTCCAAAAAAAGGGAAAGATCAAGAATGATGTCACAATTCACACCCCATATAGAATCAGAATGGTTTAAAATTTAAATGGAGCACTGCCGCAGGAATGATGCTAAAAGTGAAGAATAAATTCTACATGATAATTTGATGTATGAGCCTGAGTATTGAACGATAGGAAGACACAAGAGTGGATGTTGGACGTTGCAGAAATGAGGATGCCTGATAGAGTTGTGGTCATACCATAATGAAGAAAAAACCAAATGAGCCGGAAAGACCTCATTGAAGAGGTCTTTCAGGCAAACCTAGGAGCCACATCTACTTTGGATAAAGTCAGCGGTGAAGACTGCAGTGGTATGGTTATGTCCGCATGAGGGACCCGATGGCACCAATGAAAGGGTAGGGAGAGTTTGGTCGAGGGTGTGAGTAGAGGCAGACCACGGACGGGGTGAGCAGCTGAAACTAGACATGTCCACCTTAAGTCTCTCGAGGATATGCTCTCTCATAGGGCTTCCTAGAAAGGCCCTTAAGGCTGCATCAGAGTTGCAACCTTGCAGAATTTTAGAGCAACCATTGTTGGAGATTTGGGAGTCCTTTAGTCCTAAAATTAATTTGGTTGTGAATTGTGATACTGGTTTGGACGTTAGCTATCTCTTTGCTAAAAATTTTATTTGCCTACTTGCTTATCTATTTTTTTGTTAATATGATGATGGGTTTCGACTTTCGAGTTGACAAATCACTGGTATTTAGAGAAATAGTGAACCTCAACCCAATATTAAATTATGAATGGGAACTCGTAGGTCCAAAAAAGTTTTACTTGTTCTAAATATAAAAAACTAGAAGACTTTGAACGGAAAACAAAAAACAAATAAACTTCGTAGTTTTCATAATTTAGAAAGCAGAAATCTATTCTTCAATGCTTCTATATCTCTCAAACTTGGAGGAAGAAATAAATGATAAGCTTTCCGAAGTTATGACTAACCACCTATGATGACTATGCTCACCACTTCAGCCCCTGTTGGCCACCTCATCATGGCCAAAGACAGTCCCACCTTATTGTCAACCACTATGTCACTCCTATAGCTTATCACCTCCATTGTCTCTAGCAACCACTGTCAACCATTATGTCACTCCTATAGCTGATTAGCTTATCACCTCATTGTCTCCAGCAACCACAGTCAACCCCAGAGACCATCTCCGCCAGTGTCAATAGACAATAATCCCAACCATTACGTCCCCACTATGGAAATTACATTGGAAAATCATATATTCCAAATGAGAAAACAAAGAATGGGATATTTGGAAAACAAAAAAAACTGAAAAAACAGATAACACAAGTAAATGCACCCCTAGTGTTTCTAAACCAATAATTGTTATATTTCTATGGGAAAACTGTCAAATAGGCCCTCCTGGTATATCTGAAAAGTTAATTGAATCCTCGAACCTAAAAAAACGCTCAAATGTGTAGGTTAGTAGGTTATGGTCTGGTCAGCCGGTTACCACGCTTGTGTGGCCGGTCCACTTAGGCTTACTAGTGTTGGCATTTAACCTAAACGGCTAAATGAGTGCCGATGGAATCCTCCTCCTTCAACTTCGACCTAAACAGCTGAATGACGGCTTGAACTTCAACCTAACGACGAAGGGCTTCAACTTTGATCTAAACGACAGCGACGAATCCCCAAGGTTCATCTGACACTCTTTGACTTAACAACTGACGAAGCCCCAAGAATCTGGAACTTCCATTCCTCTCTGGTTATTTCACTTTTGACAATGACCCTTTCAATTATTTTAATAATTTCAGATGCAGCAGGGGAGTCTTCAAGGTACAGAGATGCTCGGATATCAGAGGCCCTTCCCCCAGTTCAATTTCAGTTCGATTGAATTGAAATTCCAGATACTCTCCGAGTCCAGAAAGGACTTAATTTCCCTTTTCCAGGTTTTCTCCTACAGTCTGCCAAAGCATAACAGAAACAATCACTGAAATTGAATAGCACCGCCGCCCAGTCTATCTTCCTCGACGTCTCATAGTTGGAATGGCTTTTGTCTGTGAGTATTCTTCCTGGGATTACCTTTGGGCAGGACTTGAACTTTTATTTAATTAACTATCATTTTTTTAGTTATATTACTTATATATATATATATATATATATATATATACACACACACATTATACATATATAGACATGTATGTACTAATTTACATGGAGAAATACGTTGATTGACAACAGAGGGTTATTGAGGAAATCCCAATCTCATGTGTAGCCTCCATTCTTTCTTGTGAGTTGCTGGCTCTTTCTCTTTGTGGAATGTTGGTAGTAGACGGTAGGAAGCAACAAGTATGAACAGGGAAAAGAAAAGTAAAGGACATGGGCTTTGGAGGTTGCTTTATTAAAAAATGAAATTAATTTTTAAAAAAAGTGCCATATGTGTCAGACAGGCAAGTGGTAACCGAGGAACCGATGGGCAACAGGCTTAATAGCTTATTTGGGTGCTTTTTACAACTTTGAAGGTTTGATTGGGTGATTTTGAAGTACGAGGGCCTAATTGCCGTTTTGGGTATACAACGAGGGCATATTTGACAGTTTTCCCTATTTATATACTTCTATCATTTTCATTTTCATTTTCATTTACCCCAGTGCCGCAAAGGCTCCCACCTACGGTGGGGTAAGGGGGGGTCGGATGTACGCAGTCTTACCCCTGTACTAAGCACAGAGAGACTGTTTCAATTTATATACTTCTATATTTTTAATATATCTATACTTCAACACCCTCCCTCTAATTTAAGTGCCTCCATCCCTCACTCATATAGCCATATTCCTTCATTCCTACTAGTTTTTTCGTTCTCAATTGAAATGCATATTTCTACATTCATTCTCCTTTCATACTGTGTCTCCCATTAAACTTCAGCTATTCATCAAAAAAATAAATTCTTATAGCAAGATTGATATGGGATCTTAGCCACGGGTTTGAAAATTCCAATTACAAACAAGAAGAATACCTCATCAAAAAGAACTTCTACAGCCACGTTATCATTGCAGTAAATGTCCTTGAGTTTCTTAAGCAAGTCGATGACAGGTCTAGAAAAAGTCAAGGCAAGTCATTTCCTAAAGTATTTTATTGAAACTTCTGCAAAGATTCATAATGAATAAACAGGGAGAAGGAACAAATACACCCTTGAAATATATGTCATAGAGGGGAGAAGGAAGAGATATACCTCTGAAATATATGTCAGAGAACAATTTTATCACTCAAGTTTCTTTTGGAAAATTAAAAAAAATGAAAAGTTGGAACAAATATACTCTTGAACTACATATTACAGAACATATATACCCTATTTATGTCCAATAGTTGAGGGACATATTTGCTCTCCCAATAGAGTTCAACAGAATATCTGTTCTAACTTGATATTTTTGTTTTTAATTGTTCCGAAATAAGTTGAGGGATACAATGTTCTATGTCATATAGTTCAAGGATGTACTCGTTCCTTATCCTGGTCAGAGAACATAAACATCTCTCAACTTTTATTGAACCATTAAGCACAGAAGTTGGACAGTTGGAACAAATATACCATTGAACTATTTAGGCACAAGCGCATATATGTTCCAAAACACTTAACTATTTAGGCACAAGCGCATATATGTTCCAAATTTAATATGTCCGTGTTTAATCGTTCCAAAAGAAAGTTGGATGGTATATTTGTTTTCTGACATATAATCAGGGGCAATTACTTTAGAAAACAAAACCTGAAGTGTTTGTGCCGAATGCAATACGATATGATTCTGAAGGCTGCTTCGACCCAATAATCCAGGTCGTCTAACTCACCTAGCAGATGAAGTAATATATCCAAATTTCCTTCAGACTGAAGGTGCTCCTTGAGATTTATAAAGGAGGAGAGTCAGGAATGAAGGCTTAAATACACCAGAATATTTTCAGAAGAGAAGAAAGCATTGCAAAACATACTTACAATAAGAGAAATAACTGCTTTTGGTGCCAAATTGCAATTAGTTTGTTTAATTTCTTCATATATATCAAGGGCATCAGATACTTGCCCATGTGAGGCAAGAGCAGAAACAAGCACACTTTTGACTTCATTTAAGCTCTTTATGGGTACCCTTCCATCTGAGATTACCTAGGCAATACATTGTGTGGCTCATCATCATTAGCAGTATTTTAATCCCAAGTAGGTGGTGCAATAGATTTATACTTATAGTGCCAATTAATTAAATAAAACCATTAACACTTTAAGTCCATGCCTACAAAATGGAGTTGAACTGGCTTAAATAAAAAAATTAGCACACTGGACAAATAGTGTTGAGAAGAATCTACTTTCCTGCTATTTCAAGAAATACGCAATAGAAAGTGAGAAATAAAAATAGGGAGCACCTGCTTAGCTTTTTTAAACTGTCCACAGGCTGCATATGCATTTATAAGGGCCATACAGACGTGCTTTGTGACTTGAACTTCAGAATGCTTCATCACATTAAAAAACTACAAGCAGATTCAAAATGAAAACCACAGAAGACATTTTATGGTGATTATGAATTTAATAAGGGCGCGTGCAACAACCGTGGTAGTTATACGCAAATAATATCATTTTTATATAAAATACTTTTTTAGGCAATTGCGTACTAAATAGGAGATGAAAAATGTCTTTTTTTATGCAGTTCAATGATTCACAAGAAACCTACACTAGGTTTACTTAAAAGTTGAAAGATGATGCCTCCCTACCCCATATTCAACATAAGGTTTGGTAATTGGTATTCAATGTCATGGCTTCTCTACCACATAAGTAACTACTCAATCAATGGTTCATAAAATGAAAGTCAAAAATACATAGAATGCAGAAAAGTAGTATGAGACAAATTATTAGTCATAAAATATAATTACACAACTGGTAAGAGATGTGTATTAATGCATAGTGACTTGAGACACACCACTTAGCCTTAAGAATTAACTAGCAATTAATGTGAGACTTGGGAAATTAACCCTCATCGGAACAAATGAAGTACAAGTGTTAACCTAGCTTATCACTTTTACTTGGAAAACATGGCAGACTTCCTTTGGAACTTAAGAGTTAAGACATGGCAAAATCCTGTTCACTAGAGGATTTTATTGTGTAGGTCACTCTTAATTCTATCCACAGATACAGATACCAAAATAACACCATCGATCAAACCAGTTCTGACTAAATAAGATTTTCAGAGATAAAAAGTGGCAAGACCTTGTTTAGATTGTCTTCACTCTTGCAATTGTTTATAAGATAGCTAAAAGTTTGAGAGTCTGGTTTCACATTTGCATCTTCCATTTGTTTAAGAACCATCAGACCACCGTGGAAGTTTTTCTGCAAATTCAGCAGCTATATGGGTCAAACAAAAAGCTACTAGAAGAAACAATCATCAAACAGATGACAATACATAAGCAAATAATTACATGACCCAATCTAGAGTACCCACTGGCCAGCATCGGTTATAGACATGGTATATAAGTACTACAACCAGGCTAAAAACACTTGGTCATACTGTTGAAGGTTTGTTATAATTGCTGAAGGTTAGTTATAGTTGTTGAAAGCATAAGTTGCAGGTTAGTTGTAGTTGAGGGTTGTTAGATATACATCTTGTAATAGACTAAAAGTCCTGTATTAGAATAAGTATTTCATACTGTTTAGTAGTGTCTCAGTTGGTTTGTTAAGTCTGTTAGAACAACCAACTCTATAAATACTTGTATTCTAATACAGTTTAATGCAATCTGATATTTCTGTTAGCATTCAATTCTTGTCTCTCTCTCTCTTTCTAATATGGTATCAGAGCTCTAGCTCAATCCATCAATGGCGATCACCGATGCTGAATCGAACTCTTCCTCTGCTACTGCAACTTCCACAAATTCTGCGTCTCTAGTAACATCCGCACATCCTCTTCCACTCAAGTTTGACAGTAACAACTTCATCTTCTGGAAACACAATGTAGAATCCGTCGTTCGAGCATACAAACTTCTTCGGTTCATTGTCAAACCAGAAAATCGAAACCAATTTATCTCCGATGAAGATGAAGCAGAAGGAACGATGAACAAAGCTTACGTTGCCTGGGAGCAACAAGATCAAATGTTGTTCTCGTGGCTCCTAGCGTCGCTATCTTAAGCACTCCATGCTCGCGTTATTCATTGCAAACATTCGTACGAGTTATGGAGTGCGATCAACACTTTCTTCCAATCAAGCATCCTCGCAAAAGCCAGACAATTGAAATCCGAACTGTACAACACTGCGAAAGGTGAGCATTCTATTGCTGAATATCTTCTTCGCATTAATGTGATTCTCGAAGGATTACCTGAAGAATATGAGTCTCTGGCCTCATCCATATCTTCTCGAAGTATTCTCGATCCTCCAACCTTGTCTGAAGTTGAGTCTCTTTTGTCTGCCAAAGAGATGCGACTACAAAAACTCCGTGAATCTTCTCAGTCGAATCTTCTGTCTGCAAATGTTGCTCGTTTGGATATTTCAGCTCCAAACACTCGTTCAACTGATGAAAACCTAACTGAGAATGCTTCGATTCAAGTTGCTCAGTTCAACAACACTGGTAATAGTGATAATTCTTACAGAGGCAGAGGTCGTGGAGGTTTTTCAAGAGGAAGAGGTGGTAGCTCTGGAGGAAGAAACTCTATCATATGTCAAGTTTGTGGAAAATCATGGAATTGTTATCAAACCTATTCCTTTATCTACAATGCCTCTTCCTATATCAGCTTATTGTGATGCTGACTGGGCATCTGATCCAAATGACACAAAATCAACATCAGGTTCATGTATACTTCTTGGAACAAATGTTGTTTCATGGTGGTCAAGGAAGCAGCTTCGTGTTGCAAGATCTTCCACAGAAGCAGAGTACAGGAGTCTTGCAGACACTGCAGCAGAACTCCTTTGGATTCAGTTTCTCTTAAAAGAACTCCAAGTTCCATTTTCTATTCTCAGAGTGTACAGTTCAGCTACCTCACAACCCTGTGTTGCATTCCAGGATCAAACACATGGAGATTGACCTCTTCTTTGTCAGGGAGAAAGTCCTTCTAAAACAACTTGCAGTCTATCACATTCCCTCTCTTCACCAGATAGCTGATGTTCTAACCAAACCACTTTCCAGCTCAAGATTTATTGAATTAAAAACAAAACTTAGTGTGATCGAGTATCCAAACCAATCACCCTAGTTTTGAGGGGAGAATGTTAGATATACATCTTGTAATAGACTAAAAGTCCTGTATTAGAATAAGTATACTTCATACTGTTTAGTAGTGTCTCGGTTGGTTTGTTAAGTCTGTTAGAACAACCAACTCTATAAATATTTGTATTCTAATACAGTTTAATGCAATCTGATATTTCTATTAGCATTCAATTCTTGTCTCTCTCTCTCTTTCTAATAAGGGTTAATCTTGGTTAAATCAACAGGAGAGGTGTTCTACCGTAAATATGGCATCAGGGACACGATGTGTGGGTACGGCAGTCTGTCACTAGAAAAAAATAGGAGAGATGTCCATTCAATACTTACAATTACTACCTAGTCTCTTGTGTTGCATTCTCCATAGAGTCGAGGTTGGAAGTCAGTCACCTGTAAGAATCCCAGCTAACCTTACTTTTGTGACAAGTCAAAAGTTGTTGGTAATTGATTCTCTGAAGCTACACCTCTTCCATGATTGTTATGGTCCTTTGTGCTTCACATGCACAAATGTCCTTTTAGTTTACATTTTGTTTCATAAAATAACTCAATCTCTTACTTTTTCTAGTTGTAGTTTAATATGATGGTGACATCAAGAATTTATTATCTTTCATCACTTATCTTGCTTGCATCATTTCTGCTCCACCATCACTAAATTGTCTACACACACATGGGCATCATTCCAAGCCATGTAAGTACTAAGTAGGACAACTAGATGTCCTTTTAATCCATAGTCAAAGTGACATTTAGGGACCTACTTGTACCGCTTCAGTTAGGACACGGAAACAGTGCAGCCTCTATTGATGGCTTATTCAGGTGCACTTGGGTCTTTTTTATGGAAAAGACGTCCAGAATGGTCGAAAATGTTTGTAAAAGATTTCATTCTGGAGAAACTAATGTGGTGATTCCATCAATACCTTGCATATGCATAAAGGTTTACATAGCACTTCTCCAACCCCTTTTACAGTTTTGTGTCTTCTAAAGGAATTCTTCACGAGTCTTCTTCAACTGATACCCCTCAACAGAACGGATTGCCTGAGAAGAAAAATAACCCCCATGATGAAACTGTGAGCACCATGCTACTCCGTTCTGGCCTTCTGGGATTCCTCGCCGTTTTTGGAGTGACACTCCACTCGCTTTACCTCATCAGTAGTATTTTCTATGCCTTCATCTGTTTTGCAGGGGAAGATACCCCTCCCAGTTTTATCTGTTTTGCAGGGGAAGATACCTCTCCCAGTATTCTACCTCATATAATTTTACATAACCTTCTGGTTAGGACACTTGCTCCTAACCCAAATACCCAATAGTAATACCCAAGGCCCAATAGCTAAACCCACTTGGTACTCCATTTGGGTGAGGAACCCTAACTAAACTCCTATAAATAGAAGAATGCGTATCGTATGAATGGGATACTCTCTTCCTACCTACACCCCTAAAACCCTAGAAGGCTGTAGAGTTCATCAATAGCTTCCGAGAGCCATCTTGCACATGTATGAATGAAGAGACCAATAATTACAGATCTATTGGCTTGGATTAGCCCTAAAAAAACTCACGATTTTCACCCATTTGGGTTTCCATGTAAAAAACATGTGCCTTTTTATTATCATTTTACTTTTCATTTTCTAGAGGTAAGTACGTTAGTTTATCATCCTAACTTTCATGTTGAATTAGCTCATCATTTACGATAAAGATCTCTGGTTGTACATATTTTATATAGGATATACAGCTCTAGATCACTACAAAATATCCGCACAAGCTCTGTGATGTCTTTTTTATAGTACACAAGTCTTTGAGAGGGCTTGATGTTATTGTCGAAGTATTAACCATTTCAATGACTTACCCGGCTCTGTTTCTTTGTGTCAACACTATTTTTTCAAACTCAACACAGTTTTTTTATAAGACATCAAAAGTCCTACCTATACCACCCATGCACCAATGCACCATCCTCTCAAACACAACTTTTCCACCCCACAGAAGATCCTTCCACTATAAGTCTATAACTCATTTCTTTACACATATCAGTGTCGATCCTGAGCTAGCAGCAGTAGGGAAGAAATACCAGCCTGATTGATTACACTTTTGTTCCATCACAAACTTATGCACATCCTCATTCATATTGTGTTCCGCCATCAGGTGCTGCCCATTCTCATGTCCCCACCTCTCCTATAGGAACCATCGATGACACTTGGACCATATGAGCAAATCAATCTCAAACTTCTTAATGAAGTCATTTTTGGTATCATGGGATCCATGAAGCTCATCAGTGACAATCAAGCAACACTACATAATGTGGTCAATCCAAATTTTCATGAAAGGACAAACATATTGAGACTAACTCGCTTTCTTTAAGAAAAGATTGTCTAGGTGAAGTCTTTTTCTTGATTGTAGGTTTAGATAATCAGTTAGTTGATATGTTCAATAAAACGTGTAAGTGGATCTAGGATAGAGTTTGTTTGTTGATGGATTATGAAACCATAACCCCAAGTCTAGAGAGAAGTGAGAACTCTTCTAGAGAGAGAAAATAATATACTATGTATATAAATATGACTAGCAAGTTCAACCCCCTCCACATTCCGTATAGGGAGCATTTATAGGGTAATCAGATAAGTTCAAATTGCTGAGAGAATTTGAACTTATTCCCTCCCATGGGGGGAATACATTCATAATCTCTAATACCCAAAAAAAATGCTGAAACACACTCATACACCCAAATGCTGAAGCTAAAGCATATACAAATGCTGAGGGTTGTTACAAAACTTCATTATGAAGCCTAAAAAAGTCCACCCAAATCAATGGAGTGAGGGTTAGGCATCCCTTGCCAAGGCCCAACTGCCTAAGGCCAACCTCTCTATTGAAGGCGTACCCCCAAGGGATTCTGCAAGCACATGATCAACAGAAAAGATTTTAAACACGTTGTTGTATTTCCATAACGTACTTGTATCTCACACTTCTACCCTAGAAACTAACACCTTACCTCATACTCTCCTAGACACTAACATTTACAATGCTTCAACAATAGTTATATTTTATTTACGATACTTTAGTAAGGGAACGTTTTCCATCATTTGCAATGGAGCCAAAGATTCATTTTTTTTTGGCTTGAGATTATGATGGAATAAAGCAAAATGGCTCACTAAACTGTCTGCGCTTCTTTGTTATGAAGCAGCAGTCAATCGGTCAATCCATGCAATTTTGGACGCGATTTTCACTATGGGTCATCCAGAAACAGTCTCTCTGTGCTTTAGTGCAGGGGTAAGATTGCGTACATCTGACCCCCCTACCCCACCGTAGGTGGGAGCCTTTGCGTCAATGGGGTAAATGAAAATGAAATGACTTTAGTAAGGGAACTTTAATAAAGATAAGAAAAAATACATTTATACTAATAAAGCAACTTTGATAAAGGTATAGAGAAATAATACACCATGAAAGCAAAACAAGAAACGCAGGAAACGGCATTTTAACAATCATATACCATTATATATTATAATTAATCGGCTTAAATTTTTTTATAAATAAACATGTGCATGCCTGTCCCAAGTCAGGATAGAGGAGGGTGTTGTGGTAGGCGCGTGACGGCCAAGAGTATCACTTAGCCACATCACATGACATGAATCGAAATATGAATATCGCTACAGCTAGGTCATCGCCGGTAAGCAACGTGTCATCCCTCTGCCAGGGGGTGGTGTCAAATGAGCAAGGGCGCGCTACACTTCATAGGTCTGGGTGTGGTTATAAGAATGCTAAGGCTGCTAGGTCGTCGCTCGAAAGTGACATGCCACTCTAATGCCCGGGGATGGTGACAAATATGCAAGGACCCAGGGGGTCGATGTGGTGTGAAGAAGAGAAGACAGGGTACTAGATTGCGTTTTGGGACATGAAATGTTGGTTCTCTTACGGGAAGATCATCTGAGATAGCCGAGGTTATGAAGAGGAGGAATATCAGCATAATGTGCATGCAAGAAACTAAGTGGGTTGGAGAAAAGGCACGTGAGATTAATCCCGTAGGTTTTAAGTTATGGTACTCGTGGAGAGAGGGGAACAGAAATGGAGTAGGTATTATGGTGACACATGATTTTGTTGAGAGTGTGGTTGAAGTCTTTAGGAAGAACGATCGCATCGTGAGCATTAAGTTGATAATAGGAGATGAGATCGTGTCCGCAGTAAGTGCCTAGCACTACAAGTGGGATTGGATGCATCTATCACTCAACAATTTTGGGAGGATCTTGAGGAAGTGGTGCGACGAGTGCCAAGGGGAGAGAAGCTGGTCATAGGAGGCGACCTAAACGGGCATATGGGCCCAAGTCGTGATGGTTTTGAGAGTATCCACGGCAGACATGATTTTGGCACTAGAAATGAAGCGGGGAAGAACATTCTGGATTTTGCCCCGAGATACGAGTTGGCTGTGATTAACACTTGGTTCAAAAAAAGAGACTCTCACCTTGTCACTTATAGAAGTGGAGCTAATAGTACCTAAATTGACAACTTTTTAGTATGGACGACTTAGAGAACTAACTACGCTTATTGTAAGGTTATCCCAGGTGAGAGTGTTGACACTCAACATAGGATGTTTGTGCTTGATTTCAAGGTAAAAAGAGGAGGCGGGTTAAGGTACAAGCGGAGCCAAAGGTAAAGTGGTGGAGGCTCAAGGGGATCTCCAACAAAGTTTTCCACACAAAATGTTGGAGGAAGAGGTATGGTTTATTGATAATGACACACATGTGGATGATGTGTGCTTATCATTGGAGTCCACCATTAACAAAATGGTGAAGGATATACTCAAAGAATCTAAAGGATGTCTGCCACCAAAAAAGGACACGTCTTGGTGAAATGATGAGGTGAAACAAGCAATAAGGACCAAAAGGGAACTCCGTCCTCTGGGCTTCGAAATCCCATGGTTCGATTGGTACCCTCCTCTGTAGTTGACTTCCGACCATGAGGATTTGAGGTTCAATAACTGGAAATCTCTCCTCTAGGTCAGTGAGCGTCCAGGCATAAAACCAAATTAATTCTCCGAATTAATTTTAGTGTTCATGGACTTAGAAAAGGCATATGATAGGGTACCTCAAGAAGTCCTTTGATGGGCCTTAACTAGAAAAGGCATATCACGTAAAAAAATCAATATCATCATGGATATGTATGATGCTTGTATTACAAGTGTCCGCACTAGTGTAGGGAGGACCGCAGAGTTCTCTATTACTATCGGAGTGCACCAAGGATCTACTCTGAGTCCTTTCTTATTTGTTATAGTCATGGATGAACTTACGAAGTCAATTCAAGAAGATATACCGTGGTGCATGATGTTTGTCGACGATATTGTATTGATTGATGAGACGCAATCTGATGTTAAAGCGATGTTGGAAGTTTGGCGATAAACATTGGAGATCAAGGGTTTCAGACTGAGCTGAAGCAAGACTAAGTATATGGAGTGCGAGTTTGGTGGAGGAAGAACTGAAGAAGTAGTAGCAACAGTGGGATTACTCTTGATGGTAAGGAGATACCGGTGTGTGATATTTTCTGTTATTTGGGCTTCATAATTCAGAAGGATGGTGAATTAGATGGAGATGTATGTCATAGAATCAGAGCTGGGTGGATGAAATGGAAGAGTGCATCAGGATTTCTATGTGATCAAGGTATGCCGACTGGACTGAAAGGTAAATTTTACCGAACAACAATTAAGCTTGCATTAATGTATGACATAGAGTGTTGGGCGGTGAAGCAATGCCACATATAAAAGATGAATGTGGCAAAGATGTGTTTGTTGCGTTGGATGTGTGGAGTGTGGACATACTAAAAACCGCTTGAGGAATGAGATAATCAGACAAAAGGTGGGAGTAACAACTATAAAAGATAAGATGCAGGAGTCTCGTTTGCGGTGGTTTGGGCATGTGCGTAGAAGGCCGAGTGATGCACATGTTAGACGACTTGAGGGGTGGGGAGAAGAGACAAAGAAGAGAGGGAGGGGAAGATCCAAACAGACTTGGATTAGAGGAATCAGAACTGATATGCGTTTTCTTGGGTTGGATGAGAATATGGCTTTGGAGAGAGCAAAGTGGAGGGCGCACATCTGTGTGGACGATTGATGTCTTTTCTACATTTCCTCTCTCTTTTCTTTTATCGTTCATCTTCTTTATCTTTTTATATTCTTATGTTATTTTTATCTTCTAGCTTTTTATGCTCTTTTATCTTTCTATCTTTCTTATATTCTTATGTTATTGTTATCTTATATTTACTTATCTTTATTTTATCTGTTTTATCTTACTCCCCCGTCTGTCTCTCTGTTTGGCATCGATATCATAGATTGATTCATGTTAGCCGACCCCAAATTCTTTTGGGATTAAGGCTTGGATGTTGTTGTTGTTGTTGAAACATGTGCATGCAAAAATGTTTATAAGTTTGCCACATTATCAGATATAAAAAAGTATAAATATTGAAATATACAAATTGTTCCATATTAGTACATAGCCAAATGTTAAATGCAATACATTTCCAGCAATGCATTGTGCTATGGAAATCTAGAGCCAGTGTCTCTCACTCTCTCTAGGAAGAAATCCCATAAAAAACATTAATTTCCACCCAGAAATCCCATAAATAAGAAAAGAATATTAGCATAATCTATGTCTCTATGAAGCAGTTAGCATATGAGAGAGGCAGAGCAAGTCACGGGATGAAAAAAGAATGAAGAGATGGAGGCTTATTGCCTTATAGGGGTTCGTGGATGCAAGTCAAAGGTTTGACTTTTTCTGCAAACCAGACGTTTCTGAAGTAGAATTAAATAAGGGAAGTCAAAATTATCTTAATTACGTAAACACAGTAACGCAATTTGAAGTTTCTGAAACAGAGAACTTAGTGGGATTTCACTTCTTAATACACCATTAATATTACTCTTTAAATATATTTCAACAGTAAGAAATTAACATGTATAAGGATGAACCAAGCCAACCTGGCGAAAATGGCCTGCCATTATGGCATTGTACATGTTAACTGTAGGCAACAGGTTTGATTTCCCCAAGTCTTTGATAATTTGGTATGCTCGGTCAAACTGCATGAAATAAAACACGAAATACATCAATCTACAACTAAATAAAGTTGTATAGATAACTACAAGCTGGTACAGATCCTAAATATTAGGATCTAGATAACTATGAGCTTATCTACAACTAACTAAGTCTATCCGACCCGTTTATGTACATCAATCTAATCAGGAAAAATAATGTAACATTTTTCTACACTCCCCCTCAAGTTGGTGAATATATATCATACATTCCCAAATTGCTTATAAGTAGCTCGAATATAGGTCTAAATAACCCTTTGGTGAAGATATCAGCTGTTTGATCTTTAGTGGATACAAATGGTGTGCAAATTACTCCAGCTTCAATCTTCTCCTTAATGAAATGTCTGTCCACTTCAATATGCTTAGTTCTATCATGTAGCACAGGGTTATGAGCAATACTTATAGCAGCTTTATTATCACAATATAACTTCATAGGCAGCTCAATCTCCATCTTTAGTTCTGTGATTACTCGTTTGATCCAGAGTAACTCACATATTCCATTAGCCATAGCTCTGAATTCTGATTCTGCACTACTTCTAGCAACCACATTTTGTTTCTTACTTCTCCAGGTTACTAGATTTCCCCATACATAGGTGCAGTATCCAGAAGTAGATCTCCTATCAGATATTGAGCCAGCATAATCTGCATCAGTAAAAGATTCAATTTTCCTATTGTTTCCCTTTTTGAAAAACAATCCTTTCCCTGGACAGCTCTTCAGGTATCTCAGAATCCTGTAAGTAGCATCAAGATGTTCTTGGAAAGGATGATGCATAAATTGACTTACCATGCTTACTGCAAATGCAATATCTGGTCTTGTGTGTGCCAGATATATTAATTTTCCTACCAATCTTTGATATTGGTGAATATCAACTGGATTTCCCTCCTTGATATCTCCCAATTTCTGACTTGGGTCAATTGGAGTGTCTGCTGGTTTGCAGACACTCATTCCAGTTTCCTATAGAAGATCTAAAACATATTTCCTTTGTGAGACAACAATACCCTTCTTTGATCTAGCTATCTCCATTCCTAGGAAAAATTTTAAATTTCCTAGGTCTTTAATCTCAAATTCATGAGCAAGTTTGTCTTTCAATCTTTTAGTCTCTGTGTGATAATTTCCTGTGAGGATAATATCATCTACATAGACAATTAAGATTGCAATCTCCCCCTTACCTGAAAACTTCATGAATAAAGTATGGTCAGCTTGAGCTTGATTAAATCCTTGCTTCTTTATGAACTTGGTGAATCTGTCAAACCAGGCTCTTGGAGACTGTTTAAGTCTATATAGAGCCTTCTCTAATCTGCAAACTTTTAACCCAAACTTATTTTCAAACCCAGGAGGAGGTTCCATGTACACTTCTTCTTCAAGTTTCTCATTTAAAAAAGCATTCTTTACATCCAGTTGTTGTAATGGCCAGTCTAAATTGGCAGCAAGAGATAAAAGAAGTCTTACAGTGTTTAACTTTGCAACTGGTGCAAAAGTTTCTTTGTAATCAATTCCATAGGTCTGTGTGTACCCCTTGGCAACTAGTCTTGCCTTATACCTCTCCAAACTTCCATCTGCCTTAAACTTGGGGGTGAAAATCCACCTGCAACCAACTGTAGGTTTATTTTTAGGTAACTCTACAAGCTTCCATGTCTGATTCTTTTCAAGAGCCTCCATCTCCTCCAAAACAGCTTTCTTCCACTCAGGTTTAGATAGAGCATCCTGTATGTTTGTAGGAATAGAAATAGAAGAGATATTGGAGGTAAAGGCTGCAAAGTCTGATGTCAATTTAGAATAAGAAACATAGTTTGAGATGGGGTATTTAACACATGTTCTTCTCTCTTTTCTGAGAGCAATAGGAAGGTCAAAGTTGCTAGAAGTATTACCTTTTTCACTTCCTGACATTGAGGCAGAATCATGGACAGTTGTAGGTTCTTGGACTTCCTCTATTCTTTGATTTCTAACTCTTCTCTCATAAGTTTTTCCAAAGAACTGACTTGTCTGTTGATCCTTTTCAATTGGTTCAGTTGGATTTACTTCATTATTTTTTATTCCTTGATCATTTTCAGGTGTACTGATATTTCTAAAGAAATTATCATCCAGATTAATATCAAGAAAATTAAGATTTTCATGAATATTTGGCATTATTAGAACATCTTCACTTAATTTCTCCCCCTGAAGATGAGAATCAAAAAAAGGTTGTTCTTCCATAAAAATAATATCCATAGTAACAACCATTGTTTTGGTTGTAGGATCAAAACATTTATACCCTTTTTGAGTGGCAGAAACACCTAGAAAAACACATTTTTTTCCTCTAGGATCAAACTTACTTGCAGATCTATCAGGATTTTTGATAAACACTGTGCAACCAAAGATTTTTAAAGGAAGGGTGTTTACCAATCTATTTGTAGGAAAGAACTGTTGTAGTGAACTAATAGGACTTTTAAATCCTAAAGTTTTGGATGGCATGCGATTAATTAAATAAGTTGCATGTAACACTGCTTCTCCCCACAAATATTTTGGTATGTTTGTTGAAAACATGATTGCACGAGTGACTTCAAGCAAATGTCTATTTTTCCTTTCTGCAATTCCATTTTGAGCTGGTGTATTGACACAAGAGCTTTGATGAATAATGCCTTTTTCAGTAAAAAAGTTGTTTAAAGTTTGAGAGAAATATTCACGGCCATTATCACTTCTTACCATTTTAATTTTGGTATTGAATTGAGTTTGGACCATAGCATAAAATGTTCTAAATATTTTCTCAACTTCAGATTTTTCTTTGATTAAAAATACCCATGTGACACGAGTATGATCATCAATAATAGTTACAAACCATCTCTTTCCCTTTAAAGTTGGTATTCTAGATGGACCCCAAATGTCACTATGTACCAAGGTAAAAGGGCTAGTAGGTTTATGACTGTGGGGTAAATAAGTGTTTTTGTGATGTTTTGCAAGTGCACACATATCACAATTAAACAAAGAAGCATCTTTATTCAGAAATAATTGAGGAAACATCTTTTTTAAATAATAGAAACTAGGATGTCCTAGTCTATAATGAAGTAAATACAAGTCTTTATTATTTGAAAAAGAAACAGTTTTCAAACAAGCATTTCTTGGACCTCTTTTATTAGATTGAGTTTCTTCATCAAAGATATAGAGTCCATCCTCCTCCTTAGCACTGCCAATCATCTTCCCCGATGCTAGGTCCTGAAAAATGCAATAAGAAGGATAAAAAATGACACAACATTGTAGATCTTTAGTTATTTTACTAACTGAAGTAAGATTGCAGGATAGATTAGGGACATGAAGGACTTTGGATAGATTCAGTGATGAGGAAATATTAATATTTCCTATCCCTGCAATGGCTGATAGAGAACCATCTGCAACCTTAACCTTTTTATCTCCTGCACTAGGTTTATATGAAGAAAAAAGATTTGAAATAGAAGTCATGTGATCAGTAGCCCCTGAGTCAATAATCCAGGTATTTTTAGATTTCCCAGAACAAAAAAATGATGAATAGGTACCATTTTGGGCATAAGAACAAGAGGAAGATTCTGGTTTGGATTCTTTCTGGGAATTTTGGGTTTTCTGGGAATTAAGGAAGTTAAGAAGTTGCCCTATCTGCTCCTGAGTGATAGAAAGCTGATTGAATTTGACTTGTGGTTCTTGTTGAGTCTCAGTCACAGTTGTTTGTAGGGCCTTCTCAGTTTTTTTCTTTCCTGTCCCTGGTGGTTTGCCATGAATTTTCCAACAAGTCTCCCTGGTGTGCCATAATTTCTTGCAATGATCACACCGGGGTTTTTTCTTGTCATCACTCCTAGCCACCATTGCTGAAGAGTCCCCAGATTCCTCATTATGTACTGGAATGTTGTACATAACCTTCTTCCTGTTATCCTCCATCCTGATTTCAGAAAATACCTCCCTGATAGAGGGTAAAGGTTTTTTTCCAAGTATCCTCCCCTTAACTTCATCTAGATCTCTATTAATTCCTGCTAGGAACATGTAGACCCTATCATTTTCCTCCTTTTTTTTGTGTCTTGCTAGATCCTTGGCACTCTCCCACTTCTCATCATCATGGCACTGATCCAACTCTTGCCATAGGGATACCATCTCATTGTAGTAAGAGATGATATCTCTATTGCCTTGTTTGGACTGCCACAACTTTGTTTTTAATTCAAAAATCTGAGAAGAGTTCTCAAGATTTGAGTAAGTTTCCTTAATGGAATTCCGTACCTCCTTTGCAGTTTTCATGAACATGTGAGGTTTGGCAATTGATGCATCCATTGAACTTAGAAGCCATGTTGTCGCCAAGGAATTTTCTGACCTCCAGACACTGTAGCCATCATCACCAGTTTTTTTCTCCTCTATTTCACCAGTTATGTACCCTAGCTTGCCCCTTCCATCAATAGCCAGCTTGACAGACTGTGACCATTCTAGATAATTTGTGCCATTCAATCTATGGCCAGTAATGAGCATAGATGAATGAACTGAGGTCTGGTAGTTTGTCATTGAGCTATTTTGGGAGTTAGGGTTATGGGTTTGTGAGTGGGAAGAAGAGTCAGATTGCTCGGTTTCCACCATTGTGGTGTTTAAACAACCTGCTCTGATACCATGTAAGTTTTAGGAATAAAACTTCCTTGATTGAATGAGCCATCCGGCCAGAGTATAAATACAATTTGTACAGATAACTACAAGCTGGTACAGATCCTAAATATTAGGATCTAGATAACTATGAGCTTATCTACAACTAACTAAGTCTATCCGACCCACTTATGTACATCAATCTAATCAGGAAAAATAATGTAACATTTTTCTACAAAATTGATTATGGATATTTGATTTTACAAGAAAAACGCACATAACAGATATTAGAATGTGTATAAGCTTACATCTTTCAGTTTTACACACAAATTTATCAACTTCCCAAAGGTTTCATTGTTTGGCTTCAGATCATTGGAACTGATGATTGAATGCATCCGCCGAACCTTAAGGCATGGGGAAAATACAATATTAGTGTTACAATGAGTCACAGATCAGTTGAATAACAAAAATATGGACATCACCTGTGGACATTGTAACCTCACAATGTACACACCAACAGTTGCAACAATGGAAACTTGTCATAGCTCTGGTTGTGTTGTGTCACTGGTGGATGGTATAACTCCGACCACCTCTGGTAGGTGAACATTTTCAATACAAACACACCTATTTATACTACAAAGCCACAAGGGACTACGCTTTAAAAATACTTTATGGCTTGCTATGAATGAGTTATGGACAACTATTGAACTAAAAACGAAGTAGTCTAGAAGTCAATACAGCTGGGTACTTGTAAAACAATAACACTCCAGTCTACAGTATGCACCAGCTTTAGTGTACTTTGTGAGTGATAATCAATTCAGGGGAAACTTCTAAAAAACATATCACAAAAGACATCTCTAAATGCATTTAATAACATGAACTCTTCTCATGCTATTGTAGTTTCTTTTCTCTTGTTTCCTTGGGAATAAACTTTACATTACATGAACTTGTAAACTTGTTTCCTTGGGTATAAATCGCTGAATTGATGTTACAGTTATACACCACCATAAAAAATACAGATTGGAACACTTTTTACCAATAAACTAACTAATGCATTGTAAGTTTCATCACACTCCAATCAAAAATTGCAAATCAAATAGTGGAGAATCAGAACTATAGAATTAAATGAAAACACAACGTACCAAATTATACTCAAAGCTACCTTCACAGGCATCTAGTATCACATTAACTGTTCGTGTCGTTAAAGACAAACCCCCATCAATCATTTGATCCACTATATTGAGTGCTGTATGCACCTAAGTTGCAATGCACAAGAGGACCCTCATTTAAAACAACAGAAGCAACATATTGAAGACAAGTACTTTTATAATTTAAAAAACAAATCACCGTCACCACACAGTAATGTTGGAGACAGTTGTCCACACTGATCTCATCAATCTATAAATCTTCTGAAGGGAATAATTCAACTCATACCTTGAGTGATTTGCAGGAGAGCTTAATGAGCTTCTCACAAGGTGCAGATGAGAGTGCCACATCCAACTGAGTGTGCAAGTTTTTGAACATAAGAACGACATCTTCAACCTTTAGTTAAAATAGAGCAGATAAGTCGACACAAAAGATACCGAAGAATAAACGAGTAAACAGAGTGACAACTGACAGATAAGCAAAGATCATGAAGTCCAGTTTGGAACGTCAAATGACAATGTTCCATGCTATGATGAAATATAGAGCAAACGCCTAAGCCAATTGTAATGTCGGTAGCATTCCTAGACCCAACTAGGAAGTAATGAAATGATCACCAAATAATCAGCAAAGTAAGAGAAACAATGATCACATAGAAAGCACTAGATCAGTAGATTTAGTACAACTGAGCCTTATAGACATAATCATGAGTTCAGATAGCCTCACTCAAGCCTATAAGGGACTTCTTCACACACCCATATACGCACACATATACATCGAGGCCCTAGATGTGGCCCACTTATATAAGGTTATACATAAACATAAGATATAAAAACAGATTAAGATATAAATATTTTCCCTGCAAGAATCATTTAAATGCAAAAGTTGTTGGTTATATTACTTACATATATATTAAGAATGGGATAAATATCTTTGATAGAGAAGATCAACATTTGGGTATTGCGTTCTTTTTTGTGATAACCTACTTATTGGAAAAGTAAGAAGCAATATGTGTCTGTAGATGGAGAGTAAAGAGGCAAGGGGACAGAATAAAGAAAGAAGATATTTTAAAAAACTAAAATAAGAAACAAGAAATGAAAGTGTAGAATGATCAACAAAATAGAAAGAAATGAGCATGAACTGCCCCAAGGTATTCCCTAGCAAGACTAGCCAGCCCAACAGCCTAGGGCTGCCTATTTATAAAAGAGTCCTGAGTTCTACTAATCTCTCCATGTCCCCCATGCTAAAGGATGCCTTTATTTATTATATATTACAATATTAAAATAAGATAAAATATAATTAATAATCAACTATTCCTGATATCATGCAAATCATGATCTATCACTAAACTCTTCCAATTAAACAAATCCGGTTCATTATGATACTTTGATTGATCCTCTTATTTGCCTCAAATGGTTCTCTGATTTATTCCCTTCCATAGAGGTTTTCCTTGATTTCCTCTACGTCTACAGTTGGACTTTCAAGTGTTGAAGCAAGACACTGGGTAATTAGAAATGGCGAATATGAGCTAGCTTGAGTGAAATACCTCATTACGAAACTCCTATTATGTCAACTTGGCCTATGCAGTCCACTTAGGAGTTAGGACAATCAGGCATACACATAGCTTACACTCCTTTTTTAGGAAATATATATTGAGAATAATTGTGGTAATAAGGTTCCTTCAGAGGATCTAATATATCTTAGAGTATCGAATACCTGCTGGTTCAAATGAATAACTAAATGTATTACAAGATCGAGGACTAAATATATCTTTAGAGGCTTCAAACACTTGATCTACATGTTTCAATCTAAGAGGAGTCTTGGACACATTAGCGGATTTGTAGCAAGCATTTAGCAGGCTGCAGGCCTACAACAGACATTACCACACTGTGTATGTAATTTTATTGTTTAGAATGTTTCCTATGTGTGCCTATATACTTAGGCTTGTTGTAAGTATATATCATAAACAACAATTCAACAAACAATGTTACCACCACTGTTTAGCCAGGGTACCTATAGGTCTACATCAAACTATATGTACTTCATTTTTAAAACATGAAAAACTGTAGTAAGTAGCTCAGCAATGGAAATGCATGAACATGTTCACTGAGGTCCATATCCTGACATTATTTAATTAAAAACATCACCCAATTACAGAGATGAAGAGACTTTAGAAATTAACAAGCAGTAGTCAGTAGTCACTCTATAGATCTATTCAAGTCAAGTGAGACGCGAAGTCTTCTAGCTAAGGACTCCAAGTTATGTTCAGCATCAATATGAATTTTGCTTACCTATTCTCCAATGATATGCAACTTTGTGTTCTGCGACAGACTCATTTCAGGAGTGTTTCTTTAATAATAGAAAACATAACGATACGGGTTAGTTGACTAGACTAAGGAGGTATAAAAGTTATATATTGTGAAACTACATGAGAATATGAGATTTACAGTATTTTAAAAAAAAGGAATTTTAGCATTTCAAAATACGTTCAAGTGCAACTTCATTTGACCACTGGCAAGCACAAAAGAACAATGAAAATTGGATAAAGGGAGATGTTATTTTCCACTGCGAGTGGAACAGAAATGAACATGCCTAAAAATTCTGAACTCAAGTAAATTACCAGGAGGCTCCATATGGCGCGCGCCATGCGCCATGTGGCGCGAAAAACCCTCTGCGCTATGAAAAGGGGTTGTGGCGAGGTGTATACACATGGCGTCGCCATTCCTCCGCCTTCGCCATTTGGGCGCCATCGCCATGGCGTTTGCGTCGTCCGGTAGTCGTCTAGGCTCGATGTTGGCGAAGAAATCCTCGACTTATTCACAAGTCGAACCGCAGTGGCAGGCCCAGAACCACATAAAATAGATTTAGGCCTTAATTAGGGCTAATTTAATTAAGGTTTCAGGCTTTAAATTAAAAGATAAGCCCAAACTAATCTACCTTACGGGCCATTCGTTGCCCAAAGTTGCACGTAGGAAGCAAACAACTAAGACGAACTCACATAGTCGCCCTCCCTCAGTCCCTCGCGGAATCAGAGCAGCAGAGGAACTTGCAGACTTCCCAGTTCCCAGGTCCTTGATCTTTGGCTTCAGTTTTTATTTTATTTTAAATTGTAATTAATTAAGTTGTGTATTTATAATTTTGTTGTTGTAACCTTGTTTTTGTGTGTGCGTTTTAACTGTGATACTTCTATTTTAAAATAACCTTCTATGATATACTTCACATTTTGTTTTGATTAGTTTTTTAATTTTAATTCTCATTAATAAACCTTGTTTTCAATTATTAATTGTGAGTTTCTTTTGCAATTTTTTTCATTAATTGTGAGTTTCAATACTAAGTTATATACAATATAGAATTATATATATAGTTATAAATATATAGCTATATATATAAATATATAGTTTTATATATATACATATACATATATATATATATACACAGACATAAACCCTAACAAAAAAAACACTAACAAAACCTTACTATTTTAGCTCATAATACTAACAACAACCCTAACTACAAATAAATAAACACAACTAACATAAACCCTAACTACTATTTTTGCAAGACAGAAACTTTTTTTTGAATATTATGTTTTTTGGAAGTACTTTGAACTATTTTATCATGTTTTGGTGGTTGGGTAAACTTGGGTTGATGAATTGCAGTATCTATTATTCGTTTTGAAGTTTTTTTTTGTCACGTGGCGACGCCATATTTGCGCCATCGCCATCACCGTGGAAAATGGCCTGTGCGCAATGGGTTGCACCATGTGCCATGACAACTATGCCAGGAGCTCAATAGAAGTTCCTTACCATTAAATTTGGAATGCTAGTAGCATAATCATAGATGAAACTTGAGATGTTTTCTTCTCCAATATCTGCATTTAGTGAGAAACTGTATAAATTACTTGGGATAGATGTGAAAGATACATCTGGCTTCAATACTCACAAGTCACCCATATTGTCAATATTTAATAGCATAATTACAAATGTTTTCTCTTCCCGTTAAAAAAAGAACTGAACGTTGATTGCTGCCTATGTGCACAAATGACAAGTCCACTCATGTCATATTTTAAATCATCAAAATTTTAAAAAAAAGTCATTTTAGTCTATAAAATTATAGTTGCATAACAACTCTAAGCACATGCTGTCTTTGTACATTTTTTATTAGTTATTTCCTTTTTCATCTGTCCCTAAATTAGGATGTTTTCTTGTAGAAAAATGTAGCATATACATGTTATTTTATTATGTGTACATCCGGAACTGTATAGATAGGAATTAGAGTTGATTTAGGGCTCTAACTCTTAGATTAGCTCGCAGTGTAGATAAGAATAGATAGATCCTAATACTTAGGATCTGTAACAAACCTTAGTTTATCTGTAATCTTGTATATATATCATTGCCGGATGGCTCAATAATACAAGGAAGATTAATTCTTCAAACCTACATGGTATCAGAGCCTCGGTTTAAACAATGGTAGAAACCAGTGAGGCTGATTCCTCACACACTATCAACCCTAACTCCCAAATTAGCTCTATGACAAATTACCAGTCTCCTATTCATTCATCTATGATAATCACTAGTCATAGATTGAATGGAACAAACTATCTGGAGTGGTCTCAATCTGTCAGACTTGCAATTGATGGGAGGGGAAAGCTGGGTTACATCACAGGAGAAATTCAACCAAAACTACCTGCAGAAGAAGGGTACCGTACATGGAGGTCAGAGAATTCACTCATAACAGCTTGGCTTCTCAACTCCATGGAGCCCTTAATTGCCAAACCTCATATGTTTATGAAAACTGCAAAGGAGGTATGGGATTCTATCAAGGAAACTTATTCAGATCTTGAGAACTCTTCTCAAATTTTTGAACTCAAAACCAAACTGTGGCAATCTAAACAAGGAAATAGGGATATTATTTCATACTACAATGAAATGGTATCTCTGTGGCAAGAATTAGATCAATGCTATGATGATGAAGAGTGGGAGAGTGCTAAGGATCTGGCCAGACATAAGAAAAAAGAAGAGAATGATAGGGTCTATATGTTTCTAGCAGGGATCAATAGGGACCTGGATGAAGTTAAAGGGAGGATACTTGGAAAAAAACCTCTACCCTCTATCAGGGAGGTATTTTCTGAAATCAGGATGGAGGATAGCAGGAAGAAGGTCATGTACAACACCCCAGTACCTAATGAGGAACCTGGGGAATCTTCAGCTTTGGTGGCCAGAAGTGATGACAACAAGAAAAAACCTTGGTGTGATCAGTGCAAGAAACTGTGGCACACAAGGGATACATGCTGGAAACTCCATGGAAAACCACCAGGAGCTGGGAAGAAGAAAGTAGAAAGGGCCCTACAAACTACTGTGACTGAGACTCAACAAGAGGCAGGAGTTGAACCTAAACAGCTACCATTCACTCAGGAACAGATAGAGTACCTACTCAAATTCATACCCACCCAGAAAATCTCCAACCAAGAAAACCCTACCTGTTCTTTTGCCCAAAATGGTAAAATAACATCATATTTTTGTTCTGAAAAACCTAAAAACACCTGGGTCATTGACTCAGGTGCAACAGACCACATGACCTACATTCCAAAGTTTTTTTCTTCTTATCAACCTTGTGCAGGAGATAAGAAAGTTAGAGTTGAAGATGGCTCTTTTTCAGCCATAGCAGGGATGGGAAATATTAAAATTTCCTCATCCATTAACCTTTCCAAAGTCTTACATGTTCCTAAACTTTCCTGCAATCTTATCTCTATTAGCAAAATTACTAAAGATCTTCAGTGTTGTGTAAAATTTTTCCCTCTTATTGCATTTTTCAGGATCTGGCATCAGGGAAGATGATTGGAAGTGCTAGAGAGGAGGATGGCCTCTATACTTTTGATGAAGGAACACAATTGAATAAACAAGGTCAAGAAAATACTTGTTTGCAAACTGTTTTCTTTCCTTGTAATAATGAAGTGTATTTAATGCACTATAGATTAGGTCACCCAAGTTTTCCCTATCTCAAACTATCTGTCCTATTCTCAGTTATCTACATCATTTGCAGCCTTTACCTCTAGCCTTTCTACTGTTTCTATTCCCTTAACCATACAGGAAGCCCTATCTGTACCTGAGTGGAAGAAGGCTGTTTTAGAAGAAATGAATGCCCTTGAAAAGAATCAGACATGGCAGACTGTAGAGGTAACCAAAAACAAACCAAGGGTTGGATGCAAATGGGTGTTTACCCCTAAATTCAAGGCAGATGGTACACTTGAAAGATATAAGGCCAGATTGGTTGCCAAAGGATACACACAAACCTATGGCATAGATTATACAGAAACTTTTGCACCAGTTGCAAAATTAAATACTATAAGGATCCTACTATCTCTAGCTACTAACCTAGACTGGCCTCTTCAACAGTTAGATGTGAAGAATGCTTTCCTAAATGGGAAGCTTGAAGAGGAAGTATACATGAGCCCCCCTCCTGGGTTTGAGGAACAATATGGCTCAAAGGTGTGCAAGCTAGAGAAAGCCTTATATGGGCTTAAACAGTCCCCAAGGGCTTGGTTTGAAAGGTTTACTCAATTCATAAAGAAGCAGGGATTCAAGCAAGCCCAGGCAGACCATACACTATTCATGAAATTCTCCATTAAGGGAGAAATTGCAGTACTAATTGTTTATGTGGATGATATAATTCTTACAGGAAACTATTGTGAAGAGATTGAAGACCTGAAGAAGAAGCTTGCTCAGGAATTTGAAATCAAAGACCTGGGAGAGTTGAAGTATTTTCTTGGCATGGAGATAGCCAGCTCAAAGAAGGGAATTGTGGTATCCCAAAGGAAGTGTGTACTAGACCTACTTCATGAAACAGGTATGAGTGCCTGCAAACCAATAGATACTCCAATTGACCCTAATCAAAAGTTAGGAAATGTCAAGGAAGGAGTACCAGTTAATATTCACCAATATCAAAGATTGGTGGGAAGGTTGATTTATCTGGCACATACAAGGCCAGATATTGCCTTTGCAGTCAGTATGGTTAGTCAGTTCATGCATAATCCATTCCAAGAATATCTAGATGCTACCTACAGGATCCTAAGATATTTGAAAAGCTGTCCAGGGAAAGGATTATTTTTTAAAAGAAGTGACAATAGAAGTGTAGAAGCCTTTACAGATGCAGATTATGCTGGTTCAATAACTGATAGAAGGTCTACATCTGGGTATTGTACTTATGTATGGGGGAATCTGGTGACTTGGAGGAGTAAGAAGCAGAATGTTGTTGCCAGAAGTAGTGCAGAATCTGAATTTAGATCTATGGCTAATGGAATCTGTGAACTACTCTGGATCAAGAGAATGATGACAGAGTTGAATATGGAAATGGACCTACCTATGAAGTTATATTGTGACAATAAAGCAGCCATTAATATTGCTCACAATCCTGTGCTACATGATCGTACTAAACACATTGAGGTGGACAGGCATTTTATCAAAGAGAAGATTGAAGCTGGAATTGTGTGCACACCATTTATATCTACTAAAGAGCAGACAGCTGATATCTTTACAAAGGGGTTGTTTAAACCAGTGTTTGAATTTCTTATAAGCAAGTTGGGAATGTATGATATATACTTACCAACTTGAGGGGGAGTGTAGAAAAATGTAGCATATACATGTTATTTTATTATGTGTACATCCGGAACTGTATAGATAGGAATTAGAGTTAATTTAGGGCTCTAACTCTTAGATTAGCTCGCAGTGTAGATAAGAATAGATAGATCCTAATATTTAGGATCTGTAACAAACCTTAGTTTATCTGTAATCTTGTATATATATCATTGCCGGATGGCTCAATAATACAAGGAAGATTAATTCTTCAAACCTACACTTTTGGACTGTTTTCAGTCCTGCAGACCAGACTTAAACAGACCAGATCAGACCAGACTTGGACAATTTTAAAATACACAGAGACCAGACCAGTTCAGACCAGACTTAAACAGACCAGACCAGCAAATTTCAGTCCAAAAGAAAACATCCTTATCTCCTCTTTCATTGTAAGTACATGATTGATATTGTTTCTATCTCCTTTAAACAAACTTCAAGCACGGAATTCCTACTTCATTAAAACCATGTGAAGTCAAATGTGGAGATCAATCAGGGACGGGGGTACCGAGGTAGTAATAAATTGCTGAGTTGTCTCAGATGAAATCACCCGATATGAAAAGATTTAAAACACACATGAAAGGATGAATCCAGATAACATCATTACCTAGGGTAAATCATTTACAAATACATTCCAATTTTATAAGGAAGAATTTGGTACGCAAAGAAACTGGGGTAGTGGGGTAGGTGAAGAAAGCAAATACCGTTCTGCAGAATAGGCCTAGTATTAGCTATCAAAAACAGATCTATTTTTTATATTATGGACCTTCTGGTGTAAGCGTAACTCTGCCTGGGAGTGACTTTATGCTGTTAACTGGAATCTAAGTGACTGAGTACAGATAAAAGGAGGATTAAGGTTTGTTGACCACCAATGGAAACAACAGTCACATATATGATCATTAAACAATCCAAGTTATTTGGGATCAATGTTCAGTTTTTGTTCCCTGTGTATATGAGAGTGTGAGCACTCTTGATATGGGTAGTTTTCAGTTTCGTTTTTTTATTATTAGACCTACGAAGCACTCGAATAAACATATACAATTCCTTTCTAAATCAAGTTTGTACTACTATGAATCCATGGAATGGTATTCTTCTACTCCAAACACATGAATGGTTGTTTTTATTCCACAAACAGAACTTCACACCGGATGCAACGTAAAGGCGTACCTGTCGTCTTCAAATCCAGAAACCACTTTTCTGCAAAGGGCTCTAATATTAACTTCCCCAATGAGCTAAAGATGGAAGACAGGGTTTTCAAGGAAGAAACTCTTGTTATGTCAATATTTTGTAAAAGCCTCAAGCACTCCTGTTTGCGGTCGCTATTGCACAAAGCTAACAAATAATTTTCTGCATCATTTTTAAATATGTCAGGTCCTTGAGCTGATCTTTAGGATCCGAGTGTACTAAAAAATAAATCCAAAACAGAGAAAGCTTGAGGATAGTTTTAGATTTATCAACATTTAAAGATCAAAACTGCATTGGCCATGTCATCTCTAAGAATTTAAGGGTAAAGCTCTGCCTAATTGACTTACTACTGATTAGCAAAGTAAGCATAATAAGTAGCTTCTGACTTACTTATTTGGCTTAAATCAATTCGATCAAACGCTTTTCTTCCAGACAATTTCCGTAATTTCAGTCGAGTAACCTTCTTAAATGAGTCTAAAAAGACATTAAACATCTTACATTCCTGGTCATCACCATCTTAGAGAGTGAACAGCCTTACTGCAGAAATATATTATATAGGGAGATAACACTAGGTAGTAGGTAATAATCCCCCTCCTCCCAATGAACACATACACAAACTCCCAAGAACTAACAAAGGGGAAACAAAAAATAAAGAAAACTACCATTATAAATAGACAGAGAATGAAGAGATATTCAGATCCAAACTAGACAAAAATACATAACTGATCCAGTACCTGTGAGAAACTACATCTATGATGAATATTGTACGTGAAAAAACTAAGATACGTAAAACTTATTTTAAAGAAATAGAGCATTGCAGTTAAGTTTTGAACCTTGAAAAGCATATTTGTCTTCACCACCATGAAGAGACAGAGAATTAAGGATCTCATCTATTTTATCTTGATTATCCGTCCTTATCCATAGCAATGTTTTGTAGTAAGCTAATTTCGGGAGTGAACCAGTATTCCCGTCACTAATTATTTCAGAGAAAAAGTGGAACTCGGGGACCATGCCAAAATCTATTAAAAACGTAAGGATTGGGCCATAAGACTCTTCTTCAAATTGGAATCCCCGTTCTTTTATTGCTCTAAGATACGTATAGGCTTTGGAAAGTTGATAGAACGACTCCTCTAAAGTGCTCTTCTTCCTTGCTTCTTCTACACAAAGACTTATTATTCTATTATATTCTTTGAGGCCAGTTTCTTGTCTCAGTTTATCAAGCACCAAAATTGTGGCATCCGTCCCCATTTGCTCGGCACATAAGTCAATTAAGAAGTCTAGATGAGTCTTTTGGCTATTTTTACAGTTCCATTTGTGTTTTCTTTCCAGTGAAACTTTCTTTCGGCACCATGCTGCATTATCATGTGACATGCTTGAGTTTCTCAGTCCACCCACAACATTAGTCATATGTGATTCAGATGAATTGACTGATCCTGGATCTTCCTCATCTATTTTCTTGGCAGACAAATCAATTAGGCCATCTAGACGAGCCTTTTGACTGCTCTTATTATCACATTTGACTCTCCTTTCTCGTGAAACTTCCTTTAGACACAATGATACATTACCATGCAAAATGCTTGGTGCGGTCAGAACATTAACCAATTCTGAATCTTCCAGCCCCAATTTCTTGGCACACATGTCAGTTAAGCATTCCAAATGAGTCTTTTGACTAATCTTATACACCTTCTTTTGTGTCCTTTCTTGTGAAGGTTCCTTCGTACACAGTGATGCATTGCGATGAGAAATGTTTGAAATCCATGGTACATCCAAATCATTTTCCACAGACTGACCACCATTAGTTGCATTTAAGTTCGGTGAATAAGTCAAGATTGAATCCACATCATCTGCAATTAATAATAATCTCTAAGGTTTTATAAAATAATTCAAGTAATAAAAAGCACAATAATGAGCAGCAGTATCTGGAATATAAATTGCCAGAGGAAAAAAGTGAATTACACGTGTGCCACTCACTCAGACATATTCTAGGTCCACTGGGGAGCACTTAAACATCATAAACAAGAAGGTATTGGAAACAGAAAAACAAAATTATACTTCTTATAAAAATACACTCCAAACAGGATGCAACTATATCTATGAAGTTTTTCCATAACGTATGTAGTAAACTACATTTTAAATCGTTTATCCACTGAAAATGAAGAAAAAAAAGCAAATCTTAGTTCCTAAGATGAGGCCTCAGTAGCAAATAAGTTTACAGTTTGTTAAATGCAAAGTAAGAGCAACGAAAAGAAATGCAGTAGCAAAATGCACAGCACTACATACCACATAATAAGGAAGATATTTATCTAGATACAGTTGTTGTATGATATTATGTTACCATTGTTACGTATGAAAGGGCATAACTAAACACGCCTCCCACCTCAGTTCTCCTAGGAGAGCTAATAAAACGACAAGATAACACCAACTAATGCTGCATAAACTAATACTGCCTAGTAAGCATCATTTGTCGAAATCTAATGTGATACCACCAAAAAAGAGGACAGTAATGCATACCGCAATCGCAGCCGTTGCTGTCATCAGCAAAACAAGTCTCCGAGTTTTCCGGGACTAAAGCACTGAGTGGCTCGGAAGATGACACTGGAGATGGAGACGGAGAGCTGGAAGAGTGAATAAGACGGTTGAGAGCTGGGTGGGAGGATGCGAGGCAATGTTTTCGGAATATAGTCTGGCGTTGGATACTGTGGTTTGCGCTGTACTGACGGGCGGCGAAGCGCAGCAGAAAGGGAAGTCTTTTGGACTCTGAGGAGAGCATGGGCAATGGATACTGTGCTGTTTAGATGAAGGGAATCGAAATTCTTTCTCATCTGATAGTCCCGGCTCTTCACAAGCTCCCGATCATCTGTCCGGGGAATATAGCTCCATTGTGTCCGGGCGATTTCAGAAAATAGCCTCCGGAGGGTGTCACTTGTGTGTTACTATGGGAGTCGTGTACCTTCACCATACAAAGGTGGCATTTTCCTGAATTGTGAGAAATTTGATGGTCTAAATACTCTAGTCAAGTTAAATGTCTGGTCCCTGTGGATTTTATAACTATGGAAGTCTGGTCTGGTTTGGTATAGTCTGGTTGAGTATTGTTTTTAATTCATATCTTTTGATTCATTTTCTTTTTCTTATTTTTTCTTTTATAAAAACTTATTAAATTATATTTATAATCAACTTCTATGAATTTCAAAATAAGAATCTAATGTAATATGGTACTTTTGAAATATGCATTATTTTAAAATGAGCATAAAATCGGTACCAAATGAGCATACCTTTTTATATTCATTTGCAAAATGAATATAAAAAAGTTTAAAAGCTCGTTTGTGTATGTTCATTCAATTTAGACGTTACACTCATTTAATGTGCTCAATATTCATTTGTGTTCATTCATTTTAGGCATTATACTCATTTGAGTTTAATATAAAACTCATTTCCAATGTCCTCAATATTCATTTGTGTATGTTCATTCCTTTTAAGCGTATACTCATTTGAGTTTAATATAAAACTCATTTGAGATCAATAGCATCAAGGATTCCTTGGAAATGAAGTAGATTCTACTTGTCTTCGAAAATCACAAGCTCAATCGGTAACGTCTCGAGCTCGAACTCAGTCTCCGACCTCCATCATGTCGTGGAACCATGAATCGTCAATCGGCTCAATTGGTCCAGTCTTCTTCTCGTAACAGTGACCAACAACGACTATCCCAAGAGTCGTCTCTACGCAGCCTGAGAATGAGGTGTTGCATTCATGCTAGAGGAGAAGAGGTCGTTGTGAGTGGTGAGGGTGGCGACAAGCAGCGAGCCAGGTGCGATGGCGATCGAAGAGGCAAAGCGAGGTTTGAAGAAGCGCGTTTGAAGGAAAAGCTCGGATATATTGTGCGCATGGTACATACAGGTGTATTATATAATTTGTGATATGATAACACAACAATGTACGGAGTATTTGGAAAAATATAAATAATATACCCAAAAAACTTTATTATTTGTATTCCATCCTTCTCATAATTAACTCCTCTTTTGATTTGACACGGGATTAAGAAGTTGAGCAGAAAACATGGAAATACCTTAAACCACATATCCTTCCCCCCAAAAAAAGTTACATTAGGACGAACACAAAATTAAAATGAAGTTTATTTTGAGACTTTTTCAGCCAAATCGACTTATACTAAAATAACATAAACCCCACAAGTTGCATCAAGATCAGAGAAAACAGACAATCCATTAAGACTTGAAACCATAACTCGAGCATACGTCCTTGGACCGGTCTTAGAATGAATCACCTTAAAAGAAGCAATCTGATTCGCTAATCCTCATACAAGTAATTGCAAGCCAACAATGATCGACCTAGATTCTTTGTCACTAATCATCTCCTGACCCTGACTCTCAACAAAGATAAAGACAAAATACGAGTCACCTTGGGCAAGAAACATCAGCAAAAAAAATAGCTACCATCCTTATTGATCGGGCTAAACTTGCAAGTATACAAGTGCCGATGTAGTAATAAAATATTGTTAACTACCGGGTCGATCCACAGGGAAATGGTTGATATTATAAAGTCGAGTATTGAATGCAAAAGAATATAAATGGTATAATTTTTTTAATAACTTTGTTCTTTGAGATTGGTTTAAACAAGAATGAGAATTACTAAGGCAATCGGAATTCACCTAAATGCTTTAATAGGATTTAATACTAGTTCTTTGTCAATAATTATGAATACGAAGTCGCTAATATATTCTCAACTCCGGTTAAGGCAGCGAGAGCGTGGTTTTCGTTATGTCTAAGTCCCGTTACGGCTTACATTCATCTACTGAATATCTCGTTGAATATCAAGACATCACACCCGTATCATATAGGACCGGATATATTTCTATTATCGGTACTATATATGTTTATCCTTTAATGTTCATAGTTTAGACTACAACGTTAATTGCAAGCAAAAACTAAATTTAACATACTTCTATGGTGTACACCATAGTCATAAATAATCGAAATATGAAGGATAAATCACAATTTATTGGTTTAGAACTTTTATCAAACACCTAGTGGCCATAGAGGTTCATCCCTAATCTTAGCTAAGAAATTAGCCTCTAATGCTCATATTAATCACAATACAACAATTAAATGTAATGGAACATAAAATTACAAAGGAAATAATACCTAAACACTGATGATTTCGGAGGATGAACTTTCCTCCTCAAGAACTTGAAGAACAAAAGCAAGAACAAAATAAAAAAACTAGGAATTAAAGTATGAAATGGAATATTTTTGTTTGATGAATTGAGGGCTTTATATAGGTTAGAAAATGGCATCCCTTAGTCTATTCAAGCCCAAAAGTCAGGTATGGAACAATATTTGATCAAGAAATGAGGAAGATGAAGTTTTCCCATCAAAAACCTCTTGCACGTCGTTGTGTTTAAGCAGGAATCGGCCCAACCGGCGTCGGTTGGTCAGATGACCGGCCCCGGTCGAAAATAGACTCGTTTGTGCGAAAAAACCTTCCGACCGGCGCCAGTTCTAGACTGGCCGGCGCCGGTTGCTGCGCCAAAAAATGTGTTTCATTTCTCTTCCTCCGAAATGGATAAAAAAGTGTCGGTTTTTGTACCGGAAGTTTGGGGATGTGCCGCTACGCATTTGGACATGATTCTTTCACCAAATTTGTAGATAATGAAGTCTTCTATCCACCAAAACTTGAATGACGTGATTTTATTCATCCAATCAAAAGATATAGATAAAACATTGAGAGGTACACATCCTGAAATCCCATCAGCAACATCTGAGTTTATTGGTTGATTGAGTCGTGATGTCTTCACAACATTTGTAGCTTATTGAGTTATGATTCACATGAACTTTGAATCGAGTCATTTGGAATTCTCTAAATAAGTTATACTCAAATTATGGGCAGAACGTCATCCTCTTGGTCCCAAAAACCGTTCATCACAATGTTTTATACTCTAGCTCTCGTTCTAAAGGTATTTGCCCGATTTTCTTCTTTTTTTCAACAAATACTTATAAATATTTATGTTAAACACAAGTAAATATAACGGCTATCACTTATGCAAAAAACATATAAAAATAACAACTAACTCAAAAACATAGAAATCATACACTAGGCTAGCCTAAAAACCTAGGCCCGCCCCTTCCATGTTTTTTGCTCAACTACCACCATTGTACCAACATTTTGGCTTTCTTGCTCTTGAATTTTCAAATCGTGTCTCCTCTTTGGCTCTCCCGCCTGATCGGCCGTTGTGTCCTCTCCTAAGTTTTTGGAAGATTCCCCTTGCACCAAGATCAATGCTAAATTTACCTCCTGAAGACCACCAACCATGTCTTTCGCGGTTGTATACTCAGTCCCCTCCCTCCTAACAACACTCCTACCAGTCTGTGTTCCATCCCGAACCAACCACCTCCTACCTCTTGTCCCTAAACCTCTACCACTTCCTTCTCGTAGCCTCAGACCATAAGGTTTGATTAATTCCCCAACTCTATTGTTAAACTCTAAGGGACAAAATTGATCTACATGGCCATTGTGACCACACACCAAACATAAACTTGGTAATTTTTCATATTTAAGATCCACCCAAAACCATTCTTTCTCATCCATACTTAACTTCAGTTTCCTTTGCAGAGGTTTACTTATATTCAAGCACACTTTCAAATGCATATATGGCCTCCAAACATCCTCAAATTGATGTTCCTCTACGGTTATTAGTTTACCCATTGAGTTTCCAACTATTCTTGCAACTTTCATAATAAAATAGTCCATTGGTAAATTGTAAACTAGAATCCAAAAATTAGCCTTATTAAGCAGAATCAACAAAGGCAATTCACCTGCTTGTAAAACATGCAAGACTAACAGATTTTGTTCGAACAACCCCGGGTCATTCTCAAAAACATGGTTCATATCAACCACATGGAAGAAGGTAAAAAAGATATACCTTTTTTCACCGATTTCCTTTATGGAAATCCCTATTGCTGGATGCAATTTGATGCCATCAGATCTCTGGAATAAGTAAACTTCACTTATTTGTAGGTAACCAGCCTTCCGACAACCTCAAGGATCGTCACATTACTGCTTTCTCTTCCTAGTTTTTCTTCAATGTCTACTGCAATACCTCCATTCTCCTCCTCAAAACCTTGATAATTCTGCACCAAATCGTCCATTGATTCCATTTGCTACCCTAGACATATTCGCCTCGGATTTTGCTTGTCACATCCCAGAAAAAAACCTCTAGAGTCCTCCTTGAACCGACCTAGATTAAAGCTCCTAAAACAATAAAACCCTCTAGCCGCTAAAAGCAAAGTAAACGACCGACTTTGATTTACTATAGAAGCTGTATGATGGGGTCGATAGATACCAAAACCTACATACAATAGGAGCTCTCTTATTCTATAGGTCATCACATTTTTATTTTGACTTAAAGAGTAATTTAGGGTGAGTTTACTAACATAGACATTTTCCGGTTTTCTTTTCTGTTTTCAGTTCTCCAAATTTTTGTTTTTGTTTCCCAGTTTTTCTGTCTCCAATTTTCTGTTTTAATTATCTGGTTTTCTACTTTTAAATCTGGAAACATGTTCATCAAATATTTTCACCCGATTCTAGGATCAGCCGCCAAACCGAAAGTACGGTCCCGGTCCAGCACTTAACATAGTACATCCCAAGTAGGGTACCCATTCTCGTTCGATCCCAAACGGCTAGTTTGACTGATTCTTTTCCATTTTCCTGGTTAATCGGCAACACGATGGCTCTTTTGAAACTCTGCACTTGAAAATGATTTTAAAAAACGAAGCCCGGATCGTCGGGTCAGCGACCGGACCGAACAGGAGCTGTTAGGTCATTGAGCGAACCAGACAGGAACCGTCGGGTCGTTGACCGGACCAGATAGTGACCATCGGGTCATTGACCAAGCTGGACAGCTACCGTCGGGTCAATGACTGGACCGGACAGTGACTGTCGGATCATCGTCCAG